TCATGAATAAACCCGGTGATTTGCAAGGTGCCAAAGTTAATCTACTTTGCATAAATAAATTGGTAAGCAGCATCTGTTCCTTATACAAGCTTGAAATGAAAGTCAGGAAATCAGAAAATTACCTAATTATTCATACACTACTGACAAACCTGAACATGTAAATGAAATTATAAAAATGGGCCCTTTCTTTTGAGGCAAATGAGACGTGGATGTGACGGTGTCATGGTAGCGATAGTTTGAAGGGACCTGTGATTACACAGGCAATCAGAGATTTTATAAAGCCAGTACAAATTCAGTCAATGCTCTGTGGAAATGAACACTAGAGGAAAGAAATTAAGTGGGGTCAGAGTGCACGGTCACACTACAGCGATATCCCAGGAGCAAGTTGGGATCCAAGGACGTGCCGAAGGAAGATCACACTCAATATCGCTCAAGCATAATGTGTACTAATATTTTTAGCCACGCTGTCTTTGGCTGTCGGTCCACGACTCTGGACTGCAATATCTCAACAACTATCGGCTGCATTGCCATGAATGTTTTAACAGATATTCATGGTCCCTAGAGGATGAATTGTAGCTACTTTGGTGATCCCCTGACTTTTCATCTAGCACCAGAATCAGGTCATAATAATCGGAATTCATTTGTTCAATAATCTGTATATATCCAAATACCTGCAAAAGTAACAACATTCACTCACTCCAGCCTCAGCTGTTCCTTGTCCTTAATTCATTAGCTCGTTTACAAGCTACACGCTAATTGTGAACCATCAACATATATAAAGATGGACGGCTCTCCAAAAGAGAAGCAATAACATCACGATCGCCCTCTGGTGGCTGACTGCAGTATAGGTCACAGAGCCATGTTAGCAGATGGGACAAGGGCCAAAATCAAAATACTCCTCAAATACATCCACCATACATTTACACTAGTCACATAAAGTTAGGGATATTCCACTTTCGGGTGAAATTTATGGAAAATGTAAAAAGTTGATGCTACAGTGAGATTATATCATGAAAGTAGGGCATTTAAGTAGAAGGTCAAATTAAGATCACCTGGAAAGGTTATAGTGCATTTTATGTACATTCTGAAATTTCATCCGAAAGCCGAATATCCCTAACTTTTTGTGAGTAGTGTATATGTGGATGTTGTGAACATGCCAAACAATTGCAAATGTCAGCACGTTAGCATGTTGACATTTGCAATTAGCTCACAGCTGCTAACATGGCTGAAGACTTTTTTTTTTCTTTACTAATGTTGATGTCAGTTAACCTTTTTGTAGAAATTCACTCATTAATCTGTTTTACAATTGTAATCTGACTCAGGGCAGACAGATTTCTGTTTAAAATCATTCTACAATATTAAATATAAAGTCCTCCAAATTATTTAATTGCCAATGTTGTGATTTTAGCGGATGATTTTATTCACTTGAACAGTTTGTCTTAAAGAATGTTAAAGAATTAAATGTTATAATTAAGTAAGTAAAGCACCAATAACTTAATCTGACTTTTATTGTATTTTATTCTCCTTTGCTGGTTAATATACTCTTATATTTCCCTCAATCTAATCATTGATTCTTCCCTCCATTTACACCGTTTAACAGTGTCATTTTAAAGAATAATGTTTTGGAGGACAAAAGGATACAAATACACCAGCTTATTCAAAACGAAAGCATGAATCACATAATTGTTTTACATAAATGTCTTGAATCTCTAAAAAAAAAAGGTACACGGACATGTGTAGTTGAATGCCCTTGATCTCTGAGTCAGCTAACTAGAGACATCCAGTTCAAAGGGGCATTGCAATTAAGGAGTTAATGTAGTGGTACCAATGGGTAGTGCACAGAAATAGACATTCCCAACTGTCTTCCCTTACTCCCACACCCTCCATTTCTTTCCAGCTGTTTTGCAGAAACAACCATCCATCACCAGCCATTTGTGAAGCCGCTCCATTTGCGTGCATAAAAAAAACGTGTGCATGTGTGTGGACGTCTGCCAAGTGAGCAGCTAGTGTCTGTCCTTTGTGTCTGTGTGTCTTCCCAGGTGACACATCACATCTTGTCACCGGGGTGATTCACATTCGCTTAGAGTGGTCCAAGGTTTTTAAGGGGGACAGGAGCAGAAGCACACACACACACACAGACACACACACACACACACACACACACACACACACACACACAGGCCAATAAAAACCCCAACAACTTGCAATTACTGTAAACATGCTCGAATGCACACACATGCCCAAACACTCACCCAAAAAAAGGTGTTTACTCACACTTCGGGGAACCAAACTGGGGATGATAAATGATGTAAAGGTGGAAGAAGGGCTGGACAGGGGCCCTGGAACATGCCAGAGACTATAATTTTTTACTGTTTTAAAGTCCCCCTCTGAGCTATTTTCACAAGGTCCAGCAATCCTAGGAGCACCCCTGCTTTGCACATGCAAAACAAAGCGCACTTTTCACCTGCCACATCACATCAAGCCAACAAGCTGTGGAAAGTGCATCCTTTCGCAAGACTGCGGTGCATTAATCCAGTGCAGGTGCATTCGTGATTAACTGACTGGGGGATTATGAGAGGGAGCGGAACAATCAAGTAAAGAAAGGTCATAACACTGTTGGGAACAAGGCTCCCGGTTCCCCCCGGTGCTCCACTTGAGCTTTTCCGGAAGTCTGAATTTTGTTCTGGTGTGAGCTGGTGGCCCCCGCAGGCTGCCTTAAATGGGTCGGCGTGAGCCTGCAGAGCCCTAGAATCATCGTCAAGACCTGCAAGCAGAACAGTAAGTCATCTAGTGCCTAATTATCTTATCTTACGTAAATAATGTGTTAAATTCGGCATTTGTGAGTCATGGTAATGTGTCCTCTAGACTTTAAAATGTGCCAGGAATACGTTCTACTTGAATATTATTGTGCATTTGGTGCAGTAACCTCCTAAATGTGGTGAATGAAATGGGGAAAATAGCATTTATGGTGCTCATTGATTGAGTCTCTAAGGCTAATACTTGTAAACATTAAAGTTTTGATCTATAAATGTACATGTTTATTATTTCCTTTTGTACTCATTGTCTAAGATTTGCTTATGTGAAAAGATGAGGAGGCTGTAAAAACTTGTAAGCGTCTTAAGGGGTGATATAAAAAGCTTATTTACATCAGTGAGATGCCAAAAATGTTATATGAAATATTAGCCGGGGACTTTATGCATCCATAGGCTTCCTCTTTTATATACTTTCATAACTTAAATGCATTAGTGCAGAGGCTGAACTTAAGGTTCAGGCGACAGACACACTGTGTTCATCAGATTCAGAGAAATGCTTGCTGCCTGCCTGCTGAACACTGAGACTGAGAGTTGAGGGAGGGGGGTGGAAATATATGGTTCAGCGTTTCCCCCTCACAAGAACAGCACAGTAATCAATTCCGTTTAGTACAAATCCAATGCACTTAAACTTCCAGCGCGAATAACCAGAGGCTGCAGAGCAGAGGTACATTTATCGATAAAGCAATTAATTCAAACTCCTCCTTCTCTTCCCCCCAACCTCCTTCTCCAGAGCTGCTGCTTCTCCCCCTTCATCAGCAGCAATAAAGAAGCCTCAAGTAGCCGTTACTTTAAATAAGTAATGCATCACAGGTTACTAATATTAAAATTAAGCCAATTTCTCCTTTCACAAACTGTCTCGTGGAGCAGCAGGTTGTTAAAACAATAACATTGTGTAAATCTGTTTCTGCTCTAACTCTCATTTTAGCTAGCTCGCCCAATCAGACAAACGTTAATATCGGTAAAAACAAACCAGGGTTCCCCACAATTTAAGAAATTGTTGTCCAGGAGTTTCCAGTCACTTGCTCACAAACGGTGGCCATCATATATGGGACTTTTTTTTCGGCTGTTATCACCACAGCCGATTTCCCCTCTATCCAAAAAGACCTTTTTCACAGCAGCTATTTTGACATGAAATAGTAGGGTAAACACAAATGTTAATGTTATGTTGTAAAGCTCTGTTGTATTTAGTGTATGGCAGAGCTTTTCCAGTGAGCCAACAACATGCCCTCTGACTTTGTTTGACCTGAATGTAAGCTTAATTGCCCCTGTGTTTACCCTATTTCATGTCAAACAAATGGCTGCTGTGAAAAAGGTCTATTGACTACAGCTCCCCTCTAACCATAAGATTAATCTGGCTACAGCACAGGCTAAAATATAATTTAAAAATTCCAGGATAACTGATTATTTCCAGGATATTTTGTCATTTTTATAAATTTCCAGATGTTTCCATAACTGGAAAACTACTCTCTCAATTTTCCAGGTTTTCCAGGACGCGTGGGAAGAGAAAATACTTCGTACAGTGTCACTTTTATGTGGATAAATAAACTTTATTCGACGTTAAACTACTGAAAAACAAAAACAAAAACAAAAAAAACCCAACGGTAACCTTAACGACGGACGTACAACGTCTTCTGTAACGGTAACGTCGCCGACCGTTACTTCCACTTTTTTTGTGGCGCGTGACCGGTGAGAGTGGTAACGTCACTCACGAGACCACAGTGCTGACTTGGCGGTCCAGTGTAATTTTTAATCGGGACTGGGTGAGCACCAGTCTGCCCACCGGAGAGGAGAGAGACAGGGAGGGAGAGAGAGAGAGAGAGACAGAGCATCCACAGCTCCTCTGGCACCTCAAGTCAAACTCAAAAAGCTCGAGCACCACCGGAATTAGATTTCTATCTTTCAACGTAAAAGCGCACATTCTTGGGACAAGCTATGTGAGTATACGGGGGGGGGGGGTAGCTGTAAAAACCACACTTTAAAACGAGACGTGTGTAATTATTATACGTTTAAAATGAGGATTTTTCTCGAAAGAAGTTTTCACTTGAAAGCTGCTGTAGCCGTTAGGGCGAGGGTGTAAGCAATGCTTTTTTATTTTTATTTTTTTTAAATCGCTATTTTATTTTGAAAAAGCCATCCGGTAGTCGCGCTTTTATTTTGTTGGGCTTCACACTCTCTCCATCTCCCAGAGCTCGGTCGGCTCGTAGAGACAGCAGGATGCCAAAGGGAGCACTCCGACACACGGCGTCCGTTTTACCGTCTCCCGGCGTCGTCTCTCGGCCACAACAACTCTGATGGGCGTTTTTATCCTCCTTTTACCGTCCTCGACGCTTGGATATTTTCGGAAGCCACGAAATGAAGCGAATGAATGTGAGCAACAAGAAGTGTCCTGTTGTTGTGCCTGTCTCCAGCATCACTAGTAGTCAAGTCCTCTCTGTGGATGCGGTGCCTCAGTGATGTTTTAGTTGTCTATTTTTTTGTTTTTTTTTCAGAGGATTTTATTTAGTGTTCTGTAGCGGACTACCCAACTTTTTCCCCGCTTTTTTTGTTGTCTTTTTCGAGGTTTTCCGTCTTTGAAACAAAAAAGATTTCAGGATAGACCAACTCCGGAAAACCAGCGACTTGACATCTGCTCCTGGCGGAATAACCATTGTTAGCGGTTATTCGCCCTTACAAGCATCTTCTCTGGGGTGGGAATAGGACTGATGCTTGCCTTGCTCGTCTATTCGAGTTGTGTATCGTCTCGTCTCTGTTTGTCTGTTTGTTCCCACAGTGGCATGAAAATTCATGAATGCGTCCAAGGACATGTATACAAATTACGCATGCACCATGACGGTAGTAGGCTGTGCGTAATATCCTATTATTATATCCCTATACCACATGAATGCAATAACAAAAACACACACATTTAATCTCATTCCTGTGTTTGGAGAAGATTTTGGAAGATCCATCCTAACTTGATTGGTGTGTGTGTGTGTGTGTGTGTGTGTGTGTGTGTGTGTGTGTGTGTGTAGCATGGGCGTTAGAAGTATGACAAGGAGTAAAATACCCTCTAAAATACTGATTTTTATGATTTTAGGTGGGAAAAGATCAAACTATATTAAACAAAATCCCCCAGTGGATCATTTTGGACCAATTTATTATGTGTTTTCTAAGTCCTTAGGCATCATTAGTCCCCAGGCATTAAGTCACCGCCTGATGTGTCCAAAGTTAGCAGCAAATTAAAACCCTATTAGATGCAGCTCCATGCCTTTGCCATAATTAACGCCCATGTATGTGGATGGATCAGGGGAATCTGTGCGTAAGCATGCACGTCTGTCCATGTGCCCGCATGTGCGCCCCTGGCCGCGCTAACGTGCCCATTCTGTGTGTGTGTGTGTGTGTGTGTGTGTGTGTGTGTGTGTACAGCCACGCTGGAAGTCGCCCCCCATGTGGCCGTCGGGAGCGGGGAGCAGGCAGCCCTGCCCGCGGGAGTCGGCGCTGCGCAAGGCGGCCATCAGCGGCAACATCAACTCCCTGCCGCACAACGTCCCCACCGGCCGCAGCGTCCGGGTCTTCATCTGTTCCAACCCCGACGGTAAGAGTCAGCGTGACAGCCCCCCGCCCCCCAAACTCCCCCACCGATCCTACATACTCCCTTCAAGCCTGCAGACCCTGGTATTACACAACACACTGTTTGTTTGTTTTTTGTTGTGGCTCCTTTTACAAATATGGAAATAGAGATAGATTTTGCATCCAGGCTGCATTCTTGTGCAGTTTAGGATGTTTTAGTTGAATTACCTGCATTGTAAGTGAACACGCAGGGTTCATAAGATGTAACTTGTGAACAGGAATAACCATAAAACAAACCAGTAGTGCTGTGAAACATTTAACCCAAGCATCCTAAAGTATAAAGGTTAAGGCATCTGGATGTAAAATAAAGCCCCTTTCGAAGCGTGATCTCGTGATCCAGTATTGATGAGGCCCATTTTGAAGAAAAAAGTCAGGGTTCTCGTATTATGGTGTCTTCCATTTGCTAGGCGACATTTAACGGTCCACTTAACCTAATAGAACAACTGGAAAATATCTTAAATGAGGTTACATCAGGCCATATGACAACTTGACAACAAAACAAATGCACAATTTGTTCCAATAACACAATGGAACAACAGATTGCTTTCGACGCAGAGTGCATGGTGTGAGCATAGAGCAAGTTGGGTCGTGAAGGAGACACCCAGTTGCAGCTCTGTATTTGAATATGCCCTCTGGGCAAGGGGGTAAAAATAGGCTCAGTAAAACTGGAGTAAACAAGGCAAGGGAAGTAGAGTAGGCTATGAGAGAGCAAGAGAGGAGGGAGAGAAGGAGGGCACACCAGGATTAAAAAGAGAAGATGCTTTTGTCGATAAATCACTGTCATTTGCTTGCCCTCGCGGAGCAAATAGCTATGGACCCAAACAAACATCAAAAAAGAATGAATTGACCTCAGATTATTGCCCTGTTATGGCCCGCGGTAGACGGTGAAAAGTCTGGTGTTGTTTTGCCACCTGTAGCTGATTCAGTCACTCAAACCATCCCGTCACAGCACGAATGTAACGCTCCGATCTAAACGTGGATGGAAAAAACGACGATCGGGGGGGCTATATTCCAAGTAATTCTTTTCACACTGTCGGCACCAATGGAAAGACACACACCTCAGCTGTGAAAAGAGCTAATTATGAACCGCTGTTACCAGTGAAGCGAGGTGCTGGTATCCAGTGCCATATCCTAGTAATGAAGACACTCCGTCTTAGTTCAGATAGTCGCACAGCTGCTGATTCCCCCTACAAGTTCACCTCGACCAAATCACATTTGCAATACGGTGTTATTTGCATTTGTTTGGATCATTTTTGGACTATCCTGGTCCACATGAAGGACTACAGGTATTCAAGCGTGACCCAGCTCTGCCCTCCATCCTGCTGCAGAGCCTGTTTCTGCATGTGCACTAGAGGGGGCTATTCATGCACGTATTTCTTCATCACCTTTACTGTACATGTACTCTTGAATGTGGACAAGCCATCAATTACAAATGGATAAAACTCACATTTTATTGGTACCCACTCACAATAAGAGCAGCCTTCCCTCCCTGCATTTCAGTTGAAATCCCACTACAGCCATCCCACCGTACGTTAAAGTGGAGCAGCGGAGCCCAGGCAGGATCACCTTTGCCCTTGCCAATCTTCTCCCTGTAACAGTTAACAAAATATATGTTTCACATAACAGTGTAATGCCACTATTTGTAATACCAGACACTAGAAAAGGTGAACAATGCTATCCGCAGTGATAATCGCACCATACCAGCATAACTGCACTTTTTATTGTGTCTGTGTGACTGGGAGACCTCTCTGCTTTGATCTGCGGCGGCAAGAGTTTTATGTGCTTTCTGGTTATAGCGTTGGCTCTGCTGAATATACTGACCTTAATGCCCTTAATCAAAAGCCATAGACAACTGCGACATGCTCCCACTGCTGTATTCACCCTCGCGGACCCCAGTTCTATTTGTTCGCTTTCATCTGTAAAACAAAAAAAAAAGATGGGGCATGACGCTCGATTTGAACCATAAATTATATTAAAAAAAGAAGGAGTCGATAGAAGAAAGTGGTTTTGAGGTGTCGGTGCGGCATGCAGATGCTACAACACAAAGTTCATCCCCACAATGCAGTGATATAGTGTTTACAAAAAGTAGCCAGAATGTAAGCCAAACAACTAATTTGAGTGGATTTACATCCTCCTTCCATGATGTTAATTATTCACTCAAGTTCTTGGCTCAGGTGGATGAATCTGTGTGTGTGTGTGTGTGTGTGTGTGTGTGTGTGTGTGTGTGGCCACAGTCGATCAATTAAAAACCCCACTATCTCTTCTTGCCAGTAGCCAGACAGCAGCAACAAACCAGAGAAAAGCCTAACGTGATTTATTTTTGTGTGTTTGTGTGTAAAGCTCAGTACATTATGCGGCCTGTCTCATCTGTCAATATGTGTGTGTGTGTGTGTGTGTGTGTGTGTGTGTGTGTGTGTGTGTGTTCGTTCATGGAGATCTATATAAGCATATCAAGACAACTCCATTACCTTGCTGTATTCATCTCGGGGGGATCTGGCATCGGTTGTGTGCAATAGGCAGCTATTTGTATGCAAGCTATCACTTAAGCTGTTGTTAAGTTGATAAAAGCACGAGGCCTTCGGGGATGTGATGCGTGAAATCATCTACCCTTCCGACGCACCATCATCAAGGCTATAGCATGTCACCACGGAGACCACTAATTACATTACATTTCACCCCACAATTATTCCCAGTGTTCCAATTTACTCCATTTATCTTTTTTCAGCCTGTGGATTTTTTAGCTCAGATTTCCGTAATTCAATGGTGTTTTTTTTTTATTTTTTATTGTTGCTTAAATAGCGCTCTCTCCCTAATCATCCACTTTTTGGAATTGAGTCTGGTGAAAGAGAACAAAAGAGAGGGAGAGAGGGAGGGTGGCAGGGAGGACAGAGGGAGAGATGACAGGTGGAGAGGCTGTGTCAAGGGTGGCTTTTGTTTAATAAATTGCTTCTCGTGGGCTCGGGAGTGCCAGATTTTGGGGATGAGCCCGTTCTGCGGCATTGTGAAGTTTATGACGCGTGCTAGCGAGCCTATTTCTCCCCCCTCCCTCCCCCTATTGTGTCGTCCTCCTCCTCCTTGCTCTTCTCCTGAGGCGAGAGTGGAGAGGCTCGCTCTGACTAGTTTGGCAGCAGCTTTTTACTGACCTCTCTCTGAGGTTTCCAGAGTGCTGCGGAGCAATTCCGCACCCCCAGGACGTCGTTCTGACAAATTCAGCAGTTGCCCCCGTGCACTCGCCCAACTCCCTGGGTGTTCAAACCATTTTATGGAACACACTGTAAAAGCATTTCATGAGGGAACGATGGCGATGATAGCAAGCAGCCCGCTAGATACACCTGAGTAAAATTGCTCTGTGATTATCCACTTATAACCAACATAATTAACCCAGAGGAAACTAGTGTGGACTGCAAGTGGTTTATAAGTAATGGGAATTTTATTTTTATGTGCACATCAAGGGCTCTGCTGCGGGAGAGTTTGGGGGCGTAATACTGATAATTGAGATTGAAAATGAACAAAATCTTACCAGTAACTGCCAATGAATGTTTTATTCAATGTCTTCTTGGAAGATATATCAATTTTGGGAACCTCTCTCTAGTTTTGGCTACATTTAAAGTCAGCATAATGTAATGTGGTAAGGCTTTAAGGTCTTGCCAAACGCCGTCTCTTCACTTGATTTTGTAGTTTTCAAAATGTCGATACATCTGTATATCTTTACCTCCAGTTATGCGTGTTTATGTGTAGATTTCTTGTGGAGAAATTTGTCATTCCAGATTCCACTTTCAGAATATTTTTCAATTAAAAAAAAAAAAAGATATAATGGTGAATTTCCCATAGCTGAGGAGTAGCTACTTCCCTTCCAAAATCACATGAATATTTAACACGTTTCCCACAGTTAAATTCTCCTGGGAATATAATACTAATTCCCCTCATTTCTCTAGATACCACTATAGCAAGGACATTGGCAGAAATAAAGTATTGCGTGCAGAGATGAATCATCCTGAAATGGACAGTTTCCAAGATTAAAAAGTAATACCGAAGATTATAAAATAAAATGTGATGATCTGGCTATGAGGTTCCTGGGGAGGCAGCAGAAAATAGATACGATAAACAGTGTAAGACTAAATCCCACTACAGAAGAGAAGGTGATAGTTTTGCATTTGAGTATACAACTATATTAAAAAGGACCCAGCTGATGTTACAAAAACAATCAGGAACTCAGCACCTTTTCGTACGTGGAGCTGCTGTAATTGTTGATTCGACTCGAGAGTTTCTTGGAGCTTATATCCTTAAACATCAAAACATCTTCAACTCATCAGAAACTTCTCCTCGTTTTTATCTTTGAATTAACTACAGAAAACCTGAGCCTGATACAAGACCACTAAAAACTCTGGAGCCTTCATTTGTTTTTCTGTTTATTCATTATTATACCATGGTATGGGTTAATACTTGAGTCTGATTGTCTGCAGCATTATTTCCTGATAAAGGACTAAGGAGTTCCAGTGAAACTTAAATTAAATGGCGTCTGTAACACACAAGCCCCTACACTGCCCCTCTGAACTTACTGACACTTTGTATAAGAGATCATCTCACATCCTTTTCGCTACTTCAGGCTGCCGCCGATAGTACATATGCCCTATCATTTGTTCGTGAAAATCTTGATATTCATTTGGGGACAATGACATGGCTGGATAGCTAGCTAGTCTTGTTGTTAAACCCTTGTTGTCACCTGTTAGCTCTATGAGCGGAGGGAACTAGAAATATCTCCTTTTGCCAAGTCGTATCAAAGATTCGTCCTATTTGCTGAAGAAGTGAACAATGTTTCCAAGAACCTTATGGGAGGGTAATGATTGATCCAGGTATTAGTCAAACCCTCAGGTGTTACCAGAGAAAGTTATATCTTGTAAAAAACTTTTTGATTTAAAAAAGATTTTGATTTAAATTAATTTTCTTTCAAAAGTGGCCGCGGGGTCAAGCCCTTCGAGGTGTCCATATTCAGGAATTAATGGACTCCGTGGAGGCAACCGCCCTTACATAATTAAATTTTATCATTTAATTTTATGTTTGACCGCTCAATTTGTTTACACCGACCTGCAGCAGGCCAACCAAATCCAGCTGCCAGCCCAAAATGACTCTGCTGCCAGTGCTGCCAACAACATACTACAGCTTAAAGGGTTGCCAGATTGTCAGGTCCTCTTTCACACGTCATTAGAAAACTCCATAATCCATAGTTTACAGGAAACAAACAGACCTGGCAGCACTGCATCGACCTCGCCGGTTACCGATTTGTTTGAGATAGTTGAAAACGTTGGTAAGGACATGTCTAAAATCTACACCTATGTGCCTGACCAAAGAGTTGACGGGATTGATTTATTTTTTCATTGTCTAGTTCAAACTACAGGAAGACAATTGACAGAAAAGTCTAACCTGTAACATAATAATAATATATAATCATGGCTGATTGGCCCATCTGACTGGTGAGAGATTTTAATCTTTAACTACGACATATACCACATATCCATGGTTACCTACTGTCATTTACACAAAGGGGAGTCTCAGTCATCATGGCTTACTATAATTGGGCTGTAAAATGTTTAGCGTGTTCCTGACATAAATGTGAGCATTTCATGACAAAGACCCTAAAAGCCCCATGAGTGACTTTTGTCTCAACAGCTGCTAGCACAGATGTTACCCAGTGAACTTGTTATAGTTCATTTTTATGTTGTTCTGCATGCAATCAAACCTAATTTAGGTGACTGGCGGACGAGGAAGATTACGCCGACATCCAGTCCCACATTAACATGTTTTACTGTGCATTGTTGTTTTCTGGGAAAATTAGGGAAATTCCCTCAGTGAAGTGTCGGTCGTGGCAAACTAACCTCCAGTGGATTTCCTTCCTCCTGATTCAGTGGTACTCTCATAACCTGTAGGGTCTCCCTGTGCGCAAGAAAAGTAGGAACATCTGGCCTTTATGGATGGCTGATTTACACAGCCACAATTTCCCTTTAGCATCTTCCAGGTCATTCGGTATTGATTTGCTCACTGACTGTGCGTTTGCATCATTGCGGCTCAGGTTCAGATCTGCACATTAGTTTGTTTGGTACACTGAGTGACATGAAGGCATTGAGCATCAGCCCTGTGTCTACTGAGAAAGAATGAATACATTTGTATTTCGGATGTATTGCAGGCTTAGTTTTAAGATGTGTTAAGAGGTTTGCGCTTTGTGGTGAAATAAGCAGTGAGATGTTGCATTCGACACGACAAGTGAGAGAATAACATGCTGCAGGTTAGAGGATGAATTCGAACTCGCAACAAAAGATTCTTTTCATGATTGACTGATTTTTAGTGGCATTTTTCAGTCCAAAACCCAAAGATAATCACATTTGAGAAGCAGGAACCAGAACATTTCTGTTTTTGCTTGCTAAACACTCTGGAACAACTCATCAATTATCAAAACTGTTCACAATTAATTTCCTGCCCACTGACTAAATAGATTAATTTTATAAAAAGGAGTACAGTCTAGACCTACTCTATTTGCAAAGTGTCCTGAGACAATTTCTGTTATGAATTGGCACTATACAAATAAAATTGAATTGAATTGATTGAAGAATAGTTTCAGCATTAATCCAAACTAACAATCGTACCCTTTTTGGCTTGTGGCCACTTTAAATGATTTCTGTACCTGCTTGTGACCCCTTGTCATAGCTTGCATATAAACAGTTAGAGTTCATTTTCTTTTAACAACTTCTCACATTGTTCCATGTGAAATCTTCCTTACAACATAAGCAAAGTTTGGCGATAACCAAGACTAATTTCTGTTGCAAAATCATCTCGAGACCCTCTCAGATTTATCTTGGGACCCTTAAGGCCTGAATATACCCCTAAACGAATGCATACACAGACCACTGTGGACACCATGGATGTGTAGTAGTTCAGTTTATACTACTTTCTAGAGTCTGCTTGAAGGACATTTGCACAGAGGTACGTGGTTGTCTGCACAGAGCCTACACATACACCCTCAATTTATGCCATGTGGACCCTAGCAGACCCCCAGCGCCCATCTTTATGTATTTCAGCTACTGTGTGTCATCCATACATAACTGTGTTACTGGAGCTTTGGCCTCCAAATGTCACATTTAACAGGTCAGTTCACCGCAACATATTTTCTCACTTACTTCTAGTTATATCAAACCATGCGGATAGTTTATTTTTATTTTTTTTATGTGTTTTTGAATTCTGCCTCCATCCCTAACACAACGATGTGAGTGGAATTTTGTTTGCAGTTCTCAAAGAATTGACACATTTCCAGTGATGTTTTGTGGATTATCCAAAGTAACAGAGACTAGAGAGCTTCTTGAGGCAGACATTTCAGAAGCAGATATCTCAAATCCTGGTGAACCAACCGTTTAAGCACCTCAGATGCGCTCACACGCGGCCAGGTGGATGACCACTGTGTCACAGCGTTGTTCTATTTGCAAAGACACTTGTCTTGTTAACTTGACTCTCTCTCTCTCTCTCTCTTTTAATCAGAGATCTCTTAGCAGTTGTGCATACCAAGTGCCTCTGGAGTGTCAGTTGGCGTAGCTTGATGAGCGCCGAGTGATTGCTTTTTCAGAGGCTTGTTGATGAGACAGGCAGAGAGGGCAGCTGTAGAGTGACCGCTATCTAGAGGAGTGATGGGCCAGCTGAAGCAACGTCAGTATAACTAACTTTATAGTGCTGTAGCTCTTGGCATGTTCATCCAGAAATACTTGAGTATTTCTGAGATGGTTTGTTGATTTTGGTGTCAAGCGTAAATGCCAAACAATCCCCAGTAGCAGGTTTTCAAATGTAATTTGCTGTTTTTCTCTGTTTCAAATCACTTTAAACTGAATAATTTAGTTTCGGCCAGTTGGTTGGACAAAACAAGCAATATGAAGATGTTATCTTGATGAGCATTTTTCACTTTTTTCACCCATTAAATGACTTAACAATCATAAAAAAGGAAGTTTAAAGCGAAGGAAAATAACCAGAAACATTTTGCTGTACTTCTTTGTTCAACTGACCGCCCATGAGTTCCCTAAAGGATGAGGGAGGAAGAGAGGAAAAAAAAAGAGAGAGCTGACAGGACATATCTGAAAAGGGAAAGATAGATTGGTCGGCACTATTGAAATAAAACAGATTGGAAAATTGGAGGGAGGGACACACACAGCGAGAAAGAGGGCGAATGTAACATCCAGTCTTTGTTCCTTTGCATGTGGGTGTGTACAGACACACACACATACACACACGCATACGTCAGGCTGCCATAACTCATCATCATCCAACAAAAAAAAGAGAGGGAGAGAGAGAGAGGGGGAGGCGTCTTGCCGTTATCAGCACAATACAAACAACAACATAGTTTAGTCTGTCAGGTCACATCGAGACACACTACAGCTAGATGCAGATTTGGATTGCACTCGTTTTCTACCTTTCAGCAGTTCCCAAACACATAAACAAGTTGAATCTAAATTCCATAAACGCTGCTATTTTGTTTTATTTATGATGTCACCCGTGTCACCGTGAGATATTATACGCTTATTGTGCTGTAATGTATCTCTGATGGAATGAGATGAGAGCTCCACCGATGCAGCAACTGCCATTTATTATTTCATTTGCATAACATTACAGCCGTTTGGTTTTGATTTGACATTTTGCTCGGGTAGCTGTGGGCGGATACATGCACGGCCACGGCCCAAAGCCTTACTAAAGATAGACGAGAGAAAGATACGTCAGACCAAATTTGTGGGCTCTTCCACTCGCGGTGCGTATGACACGGTTAGCGGCTGTTTGTGCGCCGCCCGCCATGTGTGTTCGTGTGCACATCAGCTCCTTGGTCACACAGGGCCTCTCTGTTGGGCATGTTCTGTTTTTAACTATCCATACACACCCTTCAGAAAAAAGAGAGGGAGAAAGAGACTGGGCCTGTCCACATAAATTACAGTAACCATTTGGAAGACAGTGAAAAAGGAAGGAGAGGAGGAAAGAAAGTGGGACACCACAACAAGCCGTGGGCACTCACTCTGTGACACTCGGACTGTCCAATATGATCACTGCCATTGTAATGCTGGAAAATCCCACATTCTCCAACAGTGTGTGTCAGCACTGGTTCAATTACATTGATATGGTTGCTACGGTAATATTGGCAGAAAGATAGTTAACTGAATATTTGGGGGTTTTGAACTGTTGGATCAGCAGATCGATTGATAATCAAAATAATCACCACAACCCAAAATAATATTGAATTCAGTGTCAAATTGTTAAAACAAAGAGACTTCTGCTTCTTTGCAGCAATGTGAGCGGAGCAAATCAATCAACAAAAGCAGAAATCTGGGGCAAGTCATTTACAACTCTCGTTATTCACCTGTTGTCCCCGTTATCCAATCAGGATACAGCCCGTGTTGAGGTAATGAATAAGAAGGTTTAACTGTGGCATTTTGTCTGCTCGTAACCCTGACAAAGACCTACAAAAAGGTAAAAACTGGTCTGCTTTGTAAGGGAATATTTCAACATGTATTCGCTTACTCTCAGAGAGAATATCAGTACTGTACGTTCATTGTCTGTGCGATGAGTATTGAGGGCTTTAGAGGGGCTAGCAGGTGTATTTTTTTAACTTTTGGAGAGAGGCAGACAAGCTGTGTGTCCAGTCTTTATGCTATGGCAAGCTAAGCTAATTGTCCCCTGGCTCTAGCCCTGTACTCGACACAAAGACCGGTATCGATCCTCTCATCTAACACTCAGAAAGGAAGTGACTAAGCGTATTTTCCATAATGCTGAACTTTTCTTTAAATTTTCTCCCTTTAATTGAAATGGCAGTTAAAATAAGGCTTTTATTATGTTTTACACGCTGTATCCACTCTTACTTTGTTGTTTTTTTGTACCCATTAGTACACACGCTTCAAGATGTCCTTTTTCCTTTGTCTGCAGACACGGAGGCGGAGAGGAACGCACTGAAAGAGCATGTCTACCCCAAACTACGAGACTTCTGCAGGGAGAACTATGGGATTGAATTCCAGGTAACTGGCTGCCTTTTTGTCTACCTTTTGATTCATTTTCTTCCTGTCTTGCCGTGCTCCTGCTCAAGGGACCTGTAACTTCCGGAGCTGTGGTTTGCCAGTACTGACTGTTAAGTGCCTCCAAATCTACATCATGGCTTACACAGCCGTCAGTGCCTGGAGGGGCCCCCAGAGCTGAGTGCAGAGGCCCCTGTCCCTTTAAGCGAACAGAAGGCCAGCAGAGATAAGGCTTCCATCGGTGAAGGCTGGCACAAATCTAACGCATGTGGATAAGGCCGCGTGATGCAAGGGCTTTCCCTTTGTTGTTCTCGGAGAATCGCCGCATTCTCCCCGTGGTGTCCACTGATCAGGATCATTTGCATTGCAAATCAGCATCAGTGTACATGGAAAGATTGCTATCAGAGGTTTGTTTGTTTAACAAATCCAGGAGAGCCCTCGAGTCAGGGGGAGATTTGTGCCATAGATTGTTCCTGGAAGGATTTGAAGAGATTTGTTGCCGATGAGGAGACTTGTGACCCCTGAATTGTTTCGTAAAGCTGTAGTCAGCGGGGTGTCAGCAGCTAATTCTCATTTCATGCTAACAATGTTTGGATCATAAACAGCTCCGAGCACATACCATCTAAAAAGGTGTTAAGACAAGACTTAATACAATAGTGTTTGGAATACGTTGCCTATTGTCCAGTTGTTTCCAGGGTTTGGTATTAAAACAAAGTGTACTTTGAAGAAAGCAAAACCACACTTATTTGCAGCAGGCTTAAGCTGCCATTAACAGCATATGTAATGAATTATAGATTATTTTGTGTGTCAAAACTTCATTGTACACCACAAATCAATGTAAAATCACACATACAAAACACACTTCCAAAGTCCAAATGGAAGTTGGATTGACTCCGTTTTTGAATATATTTTAGACAGATTTATGTGCTTGTATTAAATATTTTTTGGTGAAATTGTTACATTTCACTCCATCACAGCTGTCTTGTTTGAAGCTTAGCCACACTTAAGTGATAGCTTTGGTCCATATTGCATATTGCAAAACAATTTACATATCAATTGGCATGTGTAACTGGTGATGTGGATGAAAACCGCAGTTCGAAACAGTCCACTGCAGACAGATTTCTCCACAGAACTGATGCCGTTACACCTACAGCCAGTTGATTAGCTTTGCATGAATTAACATAAACCACTGTTATTACAAGCATCAGTTATATGAAGTCAAAGGGTCAAAGATGCGGTAACCGGACAAACATTCCTGAATCTCTCCGATGCCTGTGTGTGTGATAGAGAAGAACAAGGTAATGCAAGAAGGCAGAGACGTTTTGGCTCCGGTATCCGTGGCCACGTGTCTGTCTGGTGATTCAGCTCGCTGTGACGAAGCGTGAGCTGAAATGATTATGCAGAAGGCCTGGGAGTTAATACTATGACTCACTTACTCCGCTCTCCCTCCTCCTCCTCCTCCTCCTCCTCCTCCTCCTCTATCCGACCCCCCCATCACACACACTCCTCATCCTCACCCATGCAATGTGAGAATTGGCACCTTGGCTAAAACCACAGTTTACTGGAGCTCGATAATGACTTGCACTATTACGTGAATCATTTCAACGTGTGAAAACGTATACTATATATATATACACACATGTATACACACGTACTGCATCTCGTAGCCTGATTCTTATTTTAGTTGCATTCATTTATTTATTTTTTTGCTTTAATTTGTAATTTATGTGTGATCCCGCCTCCTCCCTTTCACACACACACACACACACACACACACACACACACGCGTGCGCTCCCGTCTCTCACACACATCCGCTGGCTCACACTGACACACATATGCCAAGCTGATGAAACCCAATTCTCCCCGGTCCCTACTCACTTGACTCAGTTTCCATCCAGAACGCTCCCTTAAGAGGATGGAGAGGGATCGCGGGAGACGGAGAGAGGGATAGAGGAAGGAAGAGGGCGCGGAAATCCAGCCCAGGGGCCGAGGGCTGCTCCTGCGTCCTCATTCAGTCAGTGAACAGCAGCGGCGAGAGAGACCATTTCTGTCCCTGTGTTTCCTGCCCTCTCTCTCCCTCTCTCTTTCATCACTCAATTGTATGCTGGCTTTTTTTTCTTCTTCTTTTTAATAGATGACACAAAACAGACACACAATGCAGCGTGGAAACAGAGGAGTGAGGCCAAAGATACACATGAGGATCAGGGTCAGACAAGGTTTCAGCGCGTCTGTAACCACGCTGGATTACTCCTCGGTGTGTGTGTGTGTGTGTGTGTGAGGTTTGGCTTGCCCTGATACGGTATTAGTGAGTGGAAACATCTAGTCTCCAGCCATATGGTGTTATTGGTAAGGTATTGATCAAAGGATTTCCTGCCTGTGATTGAGTTTTTGGCCGCTCAGATATATAGATTAATGATTTATTTGTTGGGCTCTCTAGCAATGTGGTGGCATAGTCGAATAGTTCCTCTTCACTTGGTCTCTGAGAACATTAGTCTGAAATTGGACCCAGCCTGACTCAGGACCTGGGACACTTTAGCTGAGGAAAATTAGATTTAATTGAATTTAGGTAGGGGCCTGTTGTGTTGACGCACCTGAATGGATAGTGAGACGTGCTGCGTTATGATCATCTCAGGAGAGACGTGTGTTTCTGATGCGAGACCAGGAGTGTGAAACGTGCTTTGCAGGGTGAAATGACATGTATTAGTGCCTGTTGTATCACCAAATAATTGCCAATACACAGCCCTTTTCTTAAGATCATAAATCAATAATTTATTGCTTTGTAATTATTTAATACCAGAACTTGTAAAAGTGGAATTTATTGCCTGTTAGTGGGCCCTTTTTCAGATGTATCACTTGTGACGTGCAGGCCAAACTAGTTTAATGAAGCTTTCTCCATCTCTTATCCAGCAACCAGGACACATAAACTATGAAGTTTGGTTTAAGACGGAGCGTGTTTTTTGTTGGAGCACCTGATAACGACACAGCCCATTCAGTTTGTTTTGGTGGTGCATCAAGCTGAAAATACATCCAAGTATTAAAACTGGGAAAACAGTTTGTCTAGATACTTTCAGTTGCATTTGCAAAAATTAAAATCCCATACATACACAAAGGAGATGCCTCTGACTGCAGTAATGGCGGCTTCCTTATGGACTGGACTATACATTCACTCCTCAGTCCGGTTTGTATTGTGGCGCACTTGCCGGACTGTCAGTTTCTCATCCGGTTCTGCTTTGAAATCCCAGCTCCAATTATCTTAACCCATCTTGCGTTTCTTGGACTCATAAATCATCTTGTTACAATACAATCACTTCCTCCCACACGCAGGAGATAAACTGAATCTCGGGGTTACTGGAAGCAGCTCTGTTAATAATGTGGTCGGACCTCTCTATGGTTGCCAAACTCACTGGCCGTCACACACACACACACACACACACACACACACACACACACACACACAGAGTCAGAGAGTGCAATTATAATAAAAGTTTCCTGGCTACGGTTGTGAGATTCTGTTCATCGGCTGTCACTCAGACGTCTTTTACAACTCTAAACACAAGCAGCAAGATGGGAGACGAGATGATGGGTGAGACGACATTTCACAATGATTAAAAAAATAGCCTACTCGTGTAGTCTATTATGCTTGCACTTTTAACAGAAGCGGGAATATGGCTGTCAATTTTGCTTTATCATAAAAAGGACGCAGTGCTCTTAGAATATGTCACGCACTTTAAAATGGAAAAGCTAATCATTTTATAGCTGTTCTTCTTAAGGCTTTTAAGTTTTTTTCTTTTCCCTGTGAGCTTGCTTTCAGTCTTAAATTCTTAAAAACAATCCAAAGGAAAAATAGCGCGAAATGTGTTGAAGAGGCGATACTTCATCTCTCTCTCCACTTTATGAAAGGAAATCTCAGGTCTAACTATAGATTTTTATTGTGTTCTCAGAGTGAAAAACTTCACAGGGAGAAACTGTTCAAAGCATGAAGTATTCATCACACTTCCATCTGTTTACCTGGCTGCCATATTTCTCTTTTTGTGTCCCACAGTCTGTTTCTTGCACTCCCTGGCAGCAGGACACTGTTTCGATTCACTGTCCTGCTCTGACACTGCTGCTTTTCTCTATTCAGTCTCATATCAACATGCCAACAGCCTCCACAGGAATGATACTGACAATCAGCAAAAATAATCAAAAATTAAATATGTTTCAGTTCGTATAACTCATGGGAGAACTATTTATACAGTAAAGGATGTCTTATTACTGTCACCATGATTTTTATATTTCCAATGCTGTCAATTTATCTGATGTCGACAGGATATCTCTGAAAATATGAGACATTTGATAAACAAATAGACCTGGAAAAAAACCCAAATAAGTGGGGTTTTTTTCCATAACTAAAACATAGAGACAGAGAAATTCTCAGAAAAAGTTCACATCCTTTACGAGTTGCATCGAGTAACACCTACACTTTTTCACCCACACTTCCTCTAGCCCTTGAGCAGGCTTAGCTCACATTCGCCTTCTCCTGCCCGTTGGCCACACTGACTAAGACTGGCTGAAAAAGTGTTGATGTTACCCAAATGATATACTGCAGGCAGTGTTTCTCTGATTAAAGAAATGAATGGACTCATTCAGAGCAACTGTATTCCCTATGTGTCTGCACTGGTTTTACACCATTACAGTTAACTTGTGAGCTGTCAGGTTTGTGCCAGGTTAAAATGCGAAAATAAAAAAAATAAACAAAACCTGTTTGCCTCAGGATATTCAGTTTCTGAAAGTCTTTCACTGATTTGAAAATGCATTTTTTTGCATTTTGACATAACAGTTTTTGGTGACTTTAGAAAGGTCTATATTAATTTAGCTATAGGGCAGCTGAGAGATGAGAACATGTACTAAAGGAGAAGCTGTGCTTGACTCTACTTCATATATATATGCTGGTTCCAGTGAATTTTAAGAGACTATTTTATCAAGTCTGGCAGGTATCCTGGCTACACAATCAAAGCATAACAATTGAGTGTCCCACAGGCATTAGTTGCAGAAAAAAATGGGAACAATTGAACTTTATTCTGTACGTTATTATACTGCTTGAGTGTGCTGGCAAGAAGAAGTTTTAGGTGTTTGCAATTTACAACCAAAAAGAAAGCTGAATTCTTCTTTTGAACTGAAAAATCTACGCTTTGTTTACTACTCCGTGAAACACAGACGTGCATTCATCAATAGTCTTGTGATTAGTTTCTCCTTGTGGTTCCAACCCTCCGCTCTCATTTAGCTCTCAAGCCTCTCCATCTGGCGTGGACACCATTAAACAAACAAACCTCAACTCACATTAAGAACACTGGTCCCAAAGCTCTGAAGCCTCTAAAAAAACCCCATCAAATTTGCTTTCGCTGGAGGGCCTGCTGAAGAGTTCCTACTGTATTTCCATGAAATATGTATCTCCCAGAGCAGTTTTACTAATGGGCTGCGCCCTCCTCTGCTAGTGCCTCATTATAGTCACCACAAGCCATGTGATCTCATTACCTCATGTGTTTGACTGGCTCTTAACCTTAACTTGCTATGGTTGAGCTGCAACGTCTAAAACGCTGCGCCGTAATTACCCCAGTGCGTCAGAGCTTGACAGATTTTCTCCTAGGGATGCATGTGAAATTTCCTCTCAGCGTTCATCATTGACAACCTGAATCAACTCTTTTAGTCCCGTGAAGGGGGAATTTGACTTCTTATCGTAGCTTGGCTGGACCATTGAGATGAGTAAAGTGAAACATAACATTAAGAGATCTAACATTAAAGTCTAAATCCCCTGCTTAACTGCAAAAAATTCATATTTGGCCAAGGATTTGCTGCTAAAACCTGCACTTTCCTCGAGCACTAAGAAAGCTGCATTCATCAAACATTCTTAGAGATTTACTGCACGTTCTTGATAAAATTGCCTCCAGTAGAGAGCTTAAGATATATTTATGTTGGCATCGTATCTATTTTTACTGTTGTTTTTTTTTTGCCCGAGAGTCTTTCTGTTGATGGGGTTTTTTCCGCCTTTTTTCCCCGCCTGATTTCATGCCCTTTCTTCCTGGGCATCTTGGGCATAATCCCAAAGTCTAATAGTCTAACATTCAATAAATGGAAAAAAGGCTCCTCCTGCACTTGACCCGCCATGGGCAAATGCCTTTCCAAGGGCATCAGAAAGCTGCTTAGCAGAAGCTGCTCCGGCTGTTACGTAAGCAAAGGCACCCCCATGACCATAGTTTAGGGGAAAGTGAGAGAGAAAAAGAGTCGGGGAGAGGGAAAGTAATCAGAGAGAGGGAGCAGCAAAGTCGAGGAAGTTGGCATGGAAGAAAAGGAGGGTGTAAAAAGACACAAGAAAACCAGCCAAAGCCAGTCTCACAGGAGTCTTCTGTTCTATCTAACTGTGCCTCCTTAATTAAAAAAAACCCTCCTTAACTAATCCCCCGTTAAAGAACGTCCCCTCTTAACTTCATTTAAGTGTCCTTGCTTCTTTTGGAAAAACATTCCTCGACTGTTTCTATATTTTTGTCTGTTCTCTCCCGTCCCTGCGTACTCCAGTGGAGCGCTGCAGGTTGATTGGGCAAATTTAATCAGTATATCCTTCCCACGCACGCACGCACATGAATAGATACGACTAATGTCTTCATTTAGCTTTTAATTACCATGCATCCTCCCAATCACCTGCTGAAACCCAGTAGAAACCTGGAAATTGTAATGGGGGGGTGTAACGCGCGCTCATCTCACTTCATACCCCCTCCCTCCGGTACTTGTCAACAACAGAGCCGATTGCAGTCTCCCACACGTGTGTTGGAAGTAGATTAGTGACAGAGATACACAGTGACTGATGTGCTAAGCTATGAGTTTTCCACAACAGGCCAGAGTGAGGGATTCTTATCGTGTGTGTGTGGGAGAGTTTTTTTTTCTAAGTAAAAGTGGTTCAGAATAATGGATAAGAGGCTAGTAACTGTACCTAATCAGGTCAGTTGTATCTTTTTTTTAATCCCACATCCTCTCTGTTGGTAGTACTGCTGAGTCACTTATTAACAGAAAGTGTCAAACATTCTCTGGTTCTAGCTTCTCAATTGTGAGGATGAACTACTTTTTTGATTAGCCCAAAGTTTATCAGCAACTATGTTGATAATCAGTCAATAATTTAAGTCATGGGCGCCAGGTTAGCTCAGTTGGTAGAGCTGGCGACCCATATACGGAGTTGCTACAGCGGCCTGGGTTCAAATCCGACCTGTAGCCCTTTGCTGCGTGTCATCCCCTCTCTCTCTACCCCCCCCTTCTGTCAATCTTCAGCTGTCTCTATCAAATAAAGGCATGAAAAGGCCAAAAGATTACTTAAAAAAAAAGGGGGGGGGCCACCTTTTCAGTTGTGATAGCAAACCGAATATATTTGGGTTTTGGACTGTTGGTTGGGCAAAATACGTAGTTTGAAAGTCACCATACCAACATGACATTTTATAAAATATGTCTTAATCTAGGGAAAAAAAACTTTCAATTGAAGGGTTTCATTTAAGTGCTCTAATGAATATAATTAGTTGCTAATAATCACTTCATACTAGAGGTAGAGTATGCAACATGTAAATGGGGGTCACACACTACACGTAGCTTTGTTGCATCACAAGCCTGAAGGTTGGTCGCCATTGGAATAATTGACAATGAAAATATTTGTCATTTGCAGCCCTAGGCTGTGGAAGAAATATGCATCTAGCTTTCTCCTTCCACAGTAACACAGCTGCTCACAGGTGCACAACAACAATCAGGCAGATGAGCTGAGGTGTAGCTCCTGCCCTCCTGCCGCTCCCACCAGTAATGGGAGAGCCGAATACCTCCCAGACTGTCAAAGTAAAGTCCCACACACTCAATTTCAGTGCCGAGCGGTTCTGCGGGGCTGCCAGTCACTGCTGTTGTCTGCCACACTGCGGATGTGTCAGTCATTGTGCCAGGCTAAACTCATTTGAGCTAGCTAGTCTGGTGAGCAACAGAGCATGAAGGAAGACAGCAGCAGCCCTCTCTGCTGAATCACTGTGGCTTCACCTCATTCCCTTGCTCTACCTTCTCCTTTTTTACTGCTAAAAACACTGCCATCAGGAAGGCCAGCCAGCAGAATCAATAGCCCCGAGAGAGAAAGAAAAGAATTATGCCATCATGCACATTATGCATTTTGGGGACAGAAACCTGAGCCTCCGAGCAGCAAAGGCCATCAGGAATAATTTATCTTATAATAAGCCACATGTCGGGATAAAAAATACGAGACACCCAGGAAGCTGCCGGTAGGTGGGCTTGTTGTCCCCATTCGACAAGCCCAAGCCAGCTGCAGAGGGATGTCGGCCACGCACACATTTACAGGTGTTTCCTCAGCCTCCTCGCCTCCGGTGGGAGATTCCCCCTGTGGCGTGTTTGCAGTTTGAATTGTCTGAACTGCCAAAACTTGTGATGAATGTGTTGAGGGAGACCCCCTCTGTGGCATGTGTGTGTGTGTGTACAGTCACTCCTCCCTGCTGGTCTCTAATGCTCAGAGTGCTGTAATGCTTTTCAGCTGCACAGAGCAGCGTGTGTGTGTGTGTGTGTGTGTGTGTGTGTGTGTGTGTGTGTGTGTGTGTGTGTGTGTGTGTGTAAGTCAGTGTTGAAAACAATAATGGCATTAGTTCAAGTGAGATTTCAGAGTTTAAACCTACTGATCCTCATTTGAGCTGTTTCCCTTTTGATTCATTATACTTTGTTCCATTTGTAAAACCCCAAAACTTGGCAGCAGTTTTCCTCATATTGCCTTAAACACAGGGCTTCTCTGCCGACTTGTTTTTGTTCTTTTCTTCCCCCTCAACTGAGTCATTTCATTTCAGCGTGTGCATGCAAACTCACCACCCTGTATTTGGTTGTAATGAAACAATGTGCTGGTTTTGCAATAACTGTAAAAAATTCTAATTGCATCTTTAAGTACTCTCCTGCAACAGCAAAGTCTTTCAGTAAAACAAGTGTATAACCCTGTTTTTGTGTTTTTTAAGGAGAATATCAGTTATTTTGTGCGTTTAGGAGGGTGGTTGTGAGATTATTCTTTTTAGTGAGGTGCAGGAGAAAGTGAATACATTTGATGTGTCTTTTTGCTCTTATTAACGAAACATTAACGTGTGTGTGTTGTCAGGTGGTGGATCTGTACTGGGGCGTGGACCCAGAGGAGTGGGACAGTCCAGACCTGCAGAGACTCCGAATGAAACTTCTGGAGGAATGTCTGAAGACCTCAGCGGGACCATGTTTTGTTGTAAGTATCACACGCCACACAGGTTGCAGTTAGTTTGAAATGTGATGGGTTATCCAAGGTCACATTACCGTGCATCCACACTTTACTTAATAAGTAGAAAATCTGTTAAATCAGTGTCTGCTTCAGTTGTTTCCCACCATCCCGCTCTATCTCATTACATGGCTCTGATATGGCATTAAGACTGAATTGTTCCCAGGCTATTCGCTTTTTGAAGATCTTATAGCGGTGTGAAACTACCAATTAAGAGTGAAATCTAATTTCCCTTGTAAGACCTGTCGTTTTTGTCAGTCACGGCGTGGTCGCATTTGAAAAGAGTTACAGTAGCGTTTGAAGTCCTTTCATCGCAGCTTTTGTATGCAGGACATGCGTGTCTGTTTTGTTTAACAGTGGATATGTAGTATGTATTTGGAACCCTTTTTACCTACAGTTTTTGATGCAGTTGAATAGGTTTGTTAGGGTGCTGAATATTCTAATAACTTCAGTAAATGATATATTTGCATCCATGTCACCTGCATTGATGAGATCTTCACAGCAACAAAAGTGCGTGCTTAGTCAACTTTGCTCAAGTGCAGACAAGAAGAAAGTGCGTCAGAAAGTATCCCTACTGGAAATACTGAAAATCCATGCAAAGCTAAAATTACACCTGTATGAATGAGTTATGTGAAGACCTCTGCAAGGAGAGAGAGAGAGAGAGAGAGAGAGAGAGAGGCATGGCGCATAATTACGGCTGACATTTCAGTGATCTTTTTTAGATAATTTTAGGCCACATAAAAGAAAGAAAAGGCAGGCACAAGGACGGAAAAGGATGAAGACAGGAGTGGAGAGAGGAAGAGAAATTGATGGTGAATTATTCAAATGGAACAGATCTGTTTCTAGAGGTTGAAATTGAGGTGAGAGATCACAGGGAGAGGTAATGCATTATGGGTAGGACAGGATCACTAGTCTCAAGGGAGCATAATCTCCTTCCCCAGACTGAGTTTTGTACTTTCTTCCTCACCCACCCTGCATGCACCGCTTCCTCTCTCATTCACAAGCTGTTGTTGTCTTTCTCTCTCTCACACACAAACAAGCGCATAAAACACACACTCTCAACTACAAAACATCTGCAGCTGAATGATTCATTCGAGTTTATTTCCAACTGAGCATTGGTCCTCATATCCGGCCAGTGTCACTCCAGGAACACTAACAGGTAAAACTGCTTCAGAAACATGAGATATTGCAGCATCTCCCTGCACAAATCTTCCACAAAGCTGATTTGTTTGGCTGCTTCAGTTTGTAGTTTAAAAACAATAATTGAGTTTAATAATAATAATAATAATTCTCATAAGCATCAACCTCGGTACAGTCTTGGGAGTGACCATATAAAGTCAATGACCACATTAGATATAGACCATGACACCAGCAGTTATGTGCAGTATGGGAACATTAGTATTGTTCCATCTCCATGACAGCTCCATCTGCTGATGAAGAGCATGAGCAGCAGTTGAGAGTTCCAGAACAAGCTAGTAAATGGACTTTTAGTTAAGCTTATTATGTGAATATTCATATTTTTCCACTGTAGTAATCAGCAGCAAGAAAATACCACGACACAACGGCAAACAACAAGTAACTCATTCAAAGAGTAACTAAAAAAAAAAGCACGAACATCACAGATATGAAAACAACACAGCTTGCTTGAAATGGCGTCTCTTACCCAGAGCAGATACAACAACAGCCGCCTAACACAGTCGGGGAGCACCAGCAGCAGTATGGGTTGTGTTACAGTTGTTTTCTTTAGAAGCTACCTTATCAAAGTGTTAAGAGGCAAGCTCCCTTATGAAACGCTATATTAGCAGCAGCAGCACCAGGTGAGCTCGAGTGATCAATCAGGTAGCAACTCAAAAAAAAAAAAAAAAGGAGGCAGGGCACTGACAGCTTGAATCACCTGCCCTCCGCCAAAGGGTGCGTTGGATATACGTTGCAGCAACTAGAATATGTCCTGTGACGGTTGCAGCAGGCTATAAAATATGTATATTTATATATTGTTAAGGAGAATATTTCTTGCCATCTACTCTACTGTATGTCCAAAATGTTGCTTTCCCAGTGTGCCGTAATGTTGCAACAATTTCATACAACTATTACCTGAGTACTGGTATTGACCTCTGCACACAGTCTAGTTTTTTGTCCCTCCTGATGGATTTAATGTCATGGCTTCTAAAGCCACAAGATATTGTGTGGCACAGGCCGTACAATGTAAGCTCAATCAGTCTAAACTGAACTAAAATGACCAGATCTGAGTTGAAAAAGAAGCGATACACTCTCCCCCTTTGTGCTGCTGGCTTGGTGTTCGGCGCTGTATTGTACATGCCGCGTTGATTCCATTCATTCCCATCAGCCCTGCTGCCCTCTGTCTCTGCTGCAATTTCACCATCTTAACCCCGTCTGACCCCGAGCAATACCACACAACACACTCAGGGAAAGTAGGCATACATGAGCTCAGGTACACACACACTCCCTCTCTCCTGCCCACACAGGCCTATACAAACAGTGCATTTTGACCAGAGGCATTTTCTCTGTCATGAGATTGAGAATCAGTTGGGGTGAACTCTAACTCTAGGTGATACAGACGGTTTACACTCCCCTACTCACACACACACACACACACACACACACACACACACACAACACACACACACACACACACACACAGGCATCTATAGTGCACATTCTCCCCATCTGGCCGGTTAAGTCTTTAATGGCATATTCTAGTGGTCCACTCTCTGTGGTGAATGAAGGCTTTTATGCCCACAATAGCTCCACAGAATTAAGTCCCATTCAGACTTGTCAGAGCCAGCTGCTGCAGTCACGGGAGCCGTCTCCGCCACACAGGGCCACAGCCAGCCCCGTTTCCAGGACCGGGTAGCTCCGAGCAGCGGTGTCGGGTCCTTTGTTCAGGGACTTGGATCCTCGTTTATGACAGTTCTGGGTTGTCTGGGCCATCTCCGGAGTACCGTTGTTTATTTTTACAGGGTGGGAGACCTAGATATATATGTGAGGACGGGGAAAACGTCAGCAGAATTTAGGGTCTTGTTGTTTCTGCAGCAACATACAGTAGGTTTCAAAAGGTGCGTGTAAGTTTGCGTGTGCGTGTGCATGTGCGCGTCACTGTTCATTGTTCAGGCAAATCCCAGGCTCTCCTGCGCATTCATTCTTCTCACTTTATCTCCTTTTCTTCCTTCTTCTTTGTCTCTTTCATAACTCTGACATGCAACCGCTCACGGTTTCTACGCACCATTATCACCTTCACCCACCCATTCGAGGTGCCCGCCTCAAAATGCTGCAGCCCAAGTGTCACCCCCAGCTAACACACACACACACACATACACACGCTCCTATACACAACCACATGGCTGTAAGAGGAGACTTCAAAGAGAAGCTGATCTGGGGGGTCTGCAGCCCACAGCAACTGTCACAGAGCCCAGTGCATGGATCAGAGGGGGAACAGAAGAAAGGATAAAAACAGAGGGAAATCTCTGAAAAGCAAAATTACATATGCATTGATTATTGATGTAAAAGAAAATATAGGATGTAGGAGGTGTTTCTATTGCAGAAAAAAAGGGGGAGATGAAGAGAGGAGGAGAGAAAAGGGGACGACGGGAGTGGGAATAACAGGTTCCCTAGAAACACTACAGAGGAAACAGAGAAACAGGATTGACATGCGTAGTGTAGGTGTGTTTCTTGCTGCCACAGAGGATCTGTGCAACAACTGGAAACCTCTTAATACTCTGTTTGGCACATACATCTCTCCTCATTCACCTCAACGAATCATTCACTGCTCTGCTGTACTCCAGAATAAGAAAATAACAGCATTGATATGTAGCTTTGTAACTCCTATGTAAAGGCAGGCTTAAACCTACTCCTTGTATTAATCTGATCACTGGGAATTGGGGATTTAAATATCATATTTTCAAATTTTTAAAAAATTGTATTGTTCGCCGCAAGATTTAGAGTTGTCTTAGTTCTCGAGACAGAGACAGACAAAACAAGCTTTTTATTGGATGTGTCAGTCCTTCTTTATGAGTAAGAATCAATCGCAGCGAGTGTTTTTCAAAAGGCCACGGCTGAACACAAGACAGGTGGCAGTGCAGGGTTGTTAAACACTCACATAAATACACACACACACATACCGCACTACACCTGGTTGAGACGAGGGGGAGGGCGTGAGGGGGAGGGCGTGGGGGGGGTTCTCTAACCTGTCGATGCAATAAAGCTGGTTTCCATGGCGATAGCAGGGGTTGGCATGGTGATGGTGTCATTGACCCGCAGATTAAGCATGACAATGAGCCATGTCTGTTGGTGTTTTTTTTCTTCTTCTTTGCTCTCCTTCCTCCTGCTCTCCAACAGTCTCAAATTCCCTCGTGTAAAAAAAAAACACTAAAACTTGATAAACGCCTCAAGGATGTGTATCAGCAAACAGTATGCAGCCGCTTGTCCAGTCTTTCTGCCTTTTTTTTTTTTTTCTATACTTGGCTGGCTGGCCTTGTAGCAGGTTTACTGCATGTAAGATGATAGTCGAGGATACTGTCGCTCTTATTTTCTTTTCTGCTTCTCCTCCATTCAGTTAACGTGATGTAACTGCTAACGTGATAGCTCGGATTGGCTGGTTTACCCTCTCTGCTCCGGTGGAAGTTGATACAAGGAGGAAACCTGCAGGAATACAAGAACACAAGACCGACTCATTTGATTTTGGAAATTGTGTCCGTCTGTAAATCCGTACAATATACTGATCGTAAGCAAGGTTTTGAATTCAAATTTTAGTCAGCATGCAGCACTAAAACCACTTGATTTTCAAGTGTGCTGTTGATGGACGTTATTGTCTCAAAACAAAATAGAGGAGCTTCGTAGATACAAAATAAATGAGGCATGGTGGTGAAACAGACCCTGGGAGATCAAAACAGGAGAATAAGTATTCATTCTTTGGAAAAATATTTTTCTTATCGTTTTGATGTTTAAAGGACAAGACTGAAGTTAAACTATATGATTCTTATCATCAATCGTCAATAAATCCCAACCATCCTCAGTCCATCTCTTAATACTGAATACTTACTTCACTACAACCCTTTTAGCCCCATTTGTTCCTGCTGAAGCCACTGAGGCCACTACTGAGGCCAAAAATGGAGTTTAGTTTTGTAAGGTTTCATTAATATCCATCAATAACATCTTCTGTTGCACTGTTTTTAGAAAACAATACTCGAAACACGTGTAAATAGAAGTAATCCTTAGGGATTATGATTTTTTTGGGCCACAAAAAAGTCATATGATAAGCTATATTAGACTGCGATAATACTTGTTAGGATCAGTTTTTGTACAAAAACTGTAAACTACATTGATTTCTTGCATACTTACTGCTTCTGTATTTAGTAGGAATTGGCTAACAGTTAAAGTTAAACACTGCCTCTGTGAGTGAGCGCACATGTCACCGAAAATGTAATATTTCTATGATCGGATCATCTGTTTCTTTTTTAGAGCCATTCCCCCCCCTCTGCAGTGCCAAAGCTTATGCAGCAAATATCCGAACAGTTGACTGCGTGTTTCATTGATTGATTGAGCGTGGGAGTGATTGATTTGTTGATTCATACAGTACAATATCTTAGTCGCCTCTCCCAACTGGCTCATCAGATAAAGTGCACTTAGCCAGAGTATAAAACCCCTTCCAAGGATGAAAAACCAGAGGGAGGGAGGGAGGGAAAGGAGGGAGGGAAAGGAGGGAGAGAAGTGCGGCTAAAACTGGAATTGCATTCGGTCCCTGTATGTGCTTAGCTATTGTCACTTTAGCCTCCTGTGTTTCTTGCACCTGCAGCTGTTAAAGTGTAATAAGAACTACTACAACCTTATAGTCCCTCTCAAAAGAGGGACACACACATACTGTACATGTATACACACACACACACACCAACACACACCTGTCAGCTGCCATGCGGTAATCCACCTTAGATGGCCTCATTCCAGGCCTGCTCTCTGGCTAAAACAGGGGGTGTTAAAAGCAACCCGGCAAATATTTGGACATGTCTTAGTTTAGCTTGGGTAAGTTGATGGGGTGACAGAAGTGACAGTAGATTACATTCAAGGGTGGAGTGGTGTGAATGTGTGTGTGTGTGTGTGTGTGTGTGTGTGCTGATTTGAACACCTCATTTTGTCATTTTGATAGGAAACACTAGTTGGTTTTTATCCTAATCTCATCTACACACACACACACACACACACACACACACACACACACACACACACAGAGAGACACACACACACACACACACACACACACACACTCCGAGGCGGTCACCCACTCCATTCATCCTGCTATATCACCGCGAGGCAAGCTGACAGAGACTTTGTCAGCAACTTGGAGAGTGACTGCTTTCTCTCTCTCTCTCTCTCTCTCTCTCTCTCTCTCTCTCTCTCTCTCTCTCTCTCTGTCTCTCTCTACACACACACACACACACACACTATATGTCTCTCTCTCAGCATTACTTTAGTTCAGCCCAGTGCCTCCATCCTCTACTGACACATCACTGCAGCACTGTGAGTCATAGAAGGCCATCTAAAGAGGGTGGATGAGGTGACCTGCAGGGCAGCCTGGCGCTGCAAGAATCTGTTCTGTCACAGGTTCTTAGAAGATCTAAGGCGAGGGGGTCGCCAAAGATTAATGGGGGTTGGACCGGAGGCCGTCTTGATTTTTAAGGGGTGTGAAAAAAACTTAAGTTTAACATTTCTGGTTATAAATAGGGGAGTAATGCAGCTGGTTATGTCTTTTTGAGTAGCCCTGAGTTAAAACGTGCACTTGTCATTTGAATCATTCTGGGTTTGAATGCAGCTGATGAGTCATGACCTTTCCCGTCAATCACAACTAAAGATAGCGAGCAGCCTGCCCTAGTTATCTGTTAAACTCTCTTATTTTGGCAGGAAGAGAACACAGAGAGCTACACACAAGAGGGAATCCCTTTCATTTATTTTTCTATTTAGTCCTGTATTTTCTGTCTTATAGAGATGTTTGGCTCATTAAATTAGCACTATTTTCTAATTGGGCTTCTTGCTTTATTGGATGTACTTGAATATTCCAGTCACAGGAGGGTTCTTTAATCGTAATATTTGCACATACTTTGATTATTTTCTACCATTGTTTTTTTCACCCTTTGGTGCAGGCTACACATATTTGATCTAATGTTTCACTGGATAAGTGGGTCAGCTAATTGTTTATATAATACAAATGACAGGTTTGGATGCAAAACACAAAAAACCCAAACCTCAAAGATGACACCTCCTCCTCCGAAACAACTGATGCTGTACATGGAAAGTAGATTTTAAATCCAAAAGAAGCTGCAAAAATGAACCTTTGGTACCAAATCTGTGCAACATGGCCACAAACACTGCAGTGTAAAATGAATCTACCATGGGAATTTGTGGGTTTTGAGAGTAGGCCGTTCCTACAGACCATGCCACATGCCATCATTTGATTCTGCTTGTTCTCTGCATCTGTTCCCACTGCGAATGCCAAGGGAACGAGGAGTCCAACATGGAATGGCTTTGAAGCGTCATTGCCGCAAGCGCACCAACGTAGTTTTTCCTGCTCATCGGAGCTCACAGTCATTTGGCTCGTCTCTCGCTCGCTCTGCGACTTTTTTGCCCCTGAGGCTTTAGTGAATTACGACACATGGAGTAAAGATCAGCTGGTCATGGAGGGTTTCCACTGATTTTTTTGATGCCATTGTCCTCGAATGTGACTTGATAGAGCACATCCAGGAGCGTGCCAGGAAATGGCCCCCGATCATTTCCGATGGTGGTGAATCGGCCGCCACTCAGAAGCGCATAGATGCCGAGGGGAAGAGCGGAGATTCATTGGAGCTTACAGTAGATATGCCATGTGGAGTGGGAGATAATAGTGTGATGAAAAGGCCACTATTTAATTTGATGATGCCTAATTATGCAGCTTGTGTGTTGAGTGTTCTGGTTTCTGACTAAAAAGATTGCGGAGAGTGATTGTTTGGCTTTGGTGTGTAAGACGTGATGATGGTGATAAGGTGAAGCACAGAAGCACACTAAATTATACAGATTTTATTCTCACAAATTTACATACGTCTCTTTAATTAATGCATTAATTAAAAAAAAGAAAAACATCCCATCTGTTCTATATATAAAGCAAATCTGCTCATTTCCCTAATACTACTGATTACTGAGCATTAGGAAATTTGGCCACGGCTGTGTTTTATATAACAGTGTGTCATTAAAACGTTTGCTGTGTAGCAGCAGAACTAATCTGTTTTTTTTTTCTTACTGAAAACAATAAATTATGAGAAGGGAACTGGTATTGAACCTCAGTGCTTTTGTGGTACCGACCGAAATGTCTCCATAGCACCAGATAAGAACCAAAACGTGGCATCAAAGTTTGGTCAGCTTTGTAATCTTACTTACTTGTTATATTTCCTCATTTAAATCATAATTTCGCCCATTTTAGAGAAGTATTTATTTGAGAAGTTTTGCTTCTTTTCTTTTATCTATATTTCTCAAAGTATTGAAAAATAATTAGTTTGGTATCTTCCTTGTTTCTGTCTTCTTAACACGAATACACTTTTGAAGCAGTACAAAGGCATTTTTCTTTTTTTTATTCTTCATATTAAAACTTTTTACTGAGATTTCTCTTAGCTTTGATGCTTTACTTGCTCTTTTCTATATCTTCATGTTATGTTGGGATATTTATGTGATCGCGTGTGATGTAAAGAAGGCAGATGGCATTTTCCAACCACAGGTCAACAACAACCACAGGTTTCTTCTCGCTTGTGCACGATTGTTATTTTCAGCACACGAATGTTTCTCCGTGGGGAAGAAGGGATGCAACATTTTCTTATTTAAATTGTACATATGTGGCTGTGGTGTAAAACAGTTTCCATCCAAGACAGCGCTGTTAGTGTGCACTGTGGTGCATTAGGGTGGCAGCTACATGCCTGACACCACAGTTTGTGCCTGTGCCTCATAAATTACCTTAAATAAGTTGCACTGTATGCATCATTGACTCCACTATTCACCCTGCACCACTGATCCAAAAAATAAAGCCCTAAAACAGTTTGAACGATCGAGATGATACACATTTCCTGTCTCTCTCTCTCACCTTCTCTGCCCTCTGCCTTTCTTCCCTTCCTCCCTTCCTTCCTTCCCCCCTTTCAGGGTCTGGTGGGAGAAAAGTACGGCAGCATCCGAGTGCCGGGGGAGGTGGAATCAGCGGAGTTTGAGATGATCTTGGATGCAGCTGTTGAGGCGGGGCTGGACACACACATCTTGGAAGAGTGGTACTGCAGGGATGAAAACTCTGTGCCACCCGCATACTACCTCAAACCCAAAGCCCAAATGCTTAAGAACTACCAGAACTCTGTGAGTCCAGCTAACATGCGACCGCTGCTGTGGCAGAAAAGGGAATTGTCAGTGGTTATTGTATGTCATTTCACCCACTCGGATGTAGAGGCTTAGAAGGGGGTGATTATGGATCATTATGGATTCTTGTCCTTGAGCTCTGGTTCATGAATTTAATTCTCCTTGGGGAACATATTTTATATGCACATACAAAGAAGAAAACCGGCTTTTGCTTTGAGTTTGTGAACAAGTTTGTGTTTAGTCTCAGGCAGCTCTTGAGCCCCTTTGAAGTCCTTTGCTTTACTGTTTGCCAAAAAGTTTAAGTATGCTTGCAAATGACCCCATAAAAGTAATTTAACAACAATTCTGTCAGCACAGTTAATTTTAAATAAAACGGTTTAGCTTCTGAGTTCCTCCTTCTTATCATGTCCAGAACTTTATAGAGGTAATAAAATATCTGGCTGAGCTTTGTTAAAAACTGCATGATAATGTTGCCTTGAGATTCAGTTAAGTCATAAAAACTGTACATTGTTGGCCAGTGTAGGACTTCAACACACAGTAGGATCCTAAAAACATTCAGATGTGAAGGTTTCATACCAGAATCACTCAATAATCAGTCACAGCAGTAAAGATTTTACCAGTTGATCTCAGCAATTCAGCTTACATAAAACATTTTCTCATATTAAAAACGGAGAACAATATTCTCTTTGTTACTGTATATGTCCGCACAGTACTCAAGAAAACATTAACAACCACATTCCCTCAGTACACAATGAGAGTCCTCCATCTAAACTGTCCTCTCCCTGCCCCTCCGTCCCGCTTAGATGGAGTCGAGCAGCGCAGCAAAGACCAAGAATGACAAGGCCTGGAGGAACGTGTCGGAGGAGATCAAGAGGATCTTCCGGACAGCGGTGCTGCAGCTTCAGGAGAAGGGGACCATGAAGAGCGCTCAGGCCAAGAAATTCCTTTGCTCTGGTTAGTCTGCTCTTCCTTTTCATCTTTTCAAGTCACATCTTTTGATGACTTCTTTCAAGTTGGAAGATGTCTTTATGTCTGATGTTTAGCTCCCTTCTTTCTCTCTGGTTTTAGAATTCATCTGTTTTTATTTTAACATTTAAAAAGAATTATTTGACCATTTCACGAAATTTCGATCTCTGAATGCAAAGAATATAATTCTGTGAAAGATGACAACTTCTGTAATCTACATGTGGCTTTTTTCATGTTGGGTCACATATATTGCATTGTCTCTATTACTTCCTGAGCTAAACGAGATGATTGATCAATTAACACTGAACGAGAGAAAATAATTCCACAACAATATTGATAATCAGTTTTGTTATCATTTTTAGGCAGAAATTGCAGAAATTCACAGTTTTTAAATGTAAACTTTTGCTGGTTTTTAGTCTATGATAGTAAACTGAATATATTTGTGTTATTGATTGACAAAACGAACAATTTAAACACGTCTAAGTATTTTTTTTTCATAATTTTCTCGCTTTTCTGATATTTCATATTAATTAATCAAGAAAATAATCATCAGATTAACTGATACTGAAAACAAATAGTCAGCTGCAGCCTCTATGGTACATACAGTAAGTGATGTCAGCTTATTTCATCTAGAAAATCAACAGTATGTATGATAGTTGTGATATTGTGTAACAGTGGATATCTGAGGCCATCTAGCCTAATTTAGCGGAAATTATTGTCTCACAGCTGTCCCAAATTCTACTTTCAACTGTCCCAGGCTTTTGTTCACAAATTAAATATAATGAATATAATAACTCTATTTAAGTAACTTGCGTCACTTCATTGACTTACTCTGGTCCACAAGTTGTTCCCTGCACTAATATCTGAATAACAAATTTAAAAAACAGCCTGGGTCTTTGACCACAATCAGTTTTTATTATTCTTGTTTATTATACTTATTTCTAACAGTTTGATCAATAAATGCTTCACTACAAACTGCAGCGCAAATGCAAACCTGTTTCTGATGGCTATACGGGGATAGAAATGTACATACATACTCTTTGAACATTATTATTATTTAGCCAAATAATCACAAACTCACTACAGGGACATTGTATATTTTAAGGAAAAAAGTCACATACATTTGAAATATTTCTTGCCTTTTCCCTGATGATCTGAATAAGTCACTAAATGTGTTGCAAGTCGCTTCTCAGAAATAAAGTCTGATAAATAAATGGTCTGAAAAGCTAAATCTTGTAAGAAAACATAAATAACACATAAATGGAATAAATTAATTTGTAATGATACATTTCTTGTATCTCTCTCTTCTTACTGTCCCAGTGTTATTGCAGACTTTGCTGTTTTTATTGTCTCCGGCATCCTTAATTTCAAGCGCTGACCTTCAGGGGAGAAAAAAAAATAAATCACACGTCCACTATATTTAATGAGTGAGGCTGTTGTTTAGACCATCATCTTGTAACTAAATTGATAACAAGAGATGAGATGCAATCAGGATCTGTCAGACTGATGACCGTGATTGATCGATCGCACTCTATATTCACCTCATGGTAATTAATCCAAACAGTGTGTTGCGATGTCGGCTAAAAGTGACTTTTCAAGACCATTTTTATTCAGCACTTATGTTTACTTGTGTTATTCTCCGGTATTTTCAGTGATTACCAGGCTAAATATTGAGTGTTGTGTTGGTCACAAGCGACCATTTGCCATTGAATGTGGTTTTTGAGAATGCTAATTACTTTTCACCAACGGGTGGCCAATCTGAGCTGTCCTAGTAAGACCAAACATCCAAACAGAGAATCATATAAGAAACAATAAGAAGGTACAACTCTGACATTTCAACAATCCCTTCCACTGTTTATTTTCACCCTGTAAGGTTGGTCTAATATCAGTTCTTGTCGGGTGAAAGACTCAGTCAGGCCACCCAGTTATTACTGAATTGTTTGAACAGCACTGAACTAATCTTCCAAGACATCTCTTTTTCTTTTCTCAGGCTGTCACTGTGGGAGACGATCAAAGCAATATGCTATCAGGATCTGATGACAAGTCCTTGTTTTATAGTCCTGGTCTTGTTCTCATAGAGCAGACACAGCAAGTAGCTTTTTCTTCATGGTGGAAATAAAGAATAAGCTTATTAAGTAATCGCCATTCAGGCTTTGTAATTTCATATGAAAAGGAAGCTCCTCTTTTGTGTCAGGAAAGTGCAGTTTTAATGTACTTTAATTGAGCGCACTGGGCTTTAAGCAGTGCTTAGATTTTGCTGTATAGAGGAAGTTGTGCCGTCTCCTGGAACTCCCAACTTTCCTTTCACACTTTTTTCTCTCCCACCCAATTAGTAGGCTACCATGTGAGCAAAACTACACAGGAGGAGCTGGCAGAATTTCAGTCAGCTGGCTCTTTGTGGGGGAGCTTGTGATACAGTTCAGTGGTGCTGGCTTATGTGATTTTATCAACTTTGTTTCTTCTTAAATAAGGCTCAAGAGAAATCTATGTAATCGGAGGCTAAAGACTTCTAAAGTCTGTTCAGCTTTTCTCCGGAAAGAAATCTAAATCCTACATCTGTTAGATGTTTATCTTTGCAAGTTGCACATTAAACTCAGCGTCAGGCTATTTTAGAACTTCCAACTAAACACAATCAAAAGTTATTAATGTGGAGAAGCTGAGGAAGACTTCTTAGTGACCAGTTGTATTTTTCTCTTTTTTTCAGCCTTGGAGGATGAATTAGACTTTGCCCTTGGGAAACAAACTCCTGCCTTTCTCAGGAAATGTGTCTGCTACATTCGTAAGATCTCTAACTTCGACCGCTTCGCCAAACTCCCCGAGATGGGCCGATACATGGACATCGTGGTGAGCGGCGATCGCGTCATGCGCAACCAGGAAGCCTACGAACGCCTTCTGAAGGTACGGGACGAATTCATCCCCACGGTCGTCGCTGCCTCCAACCTCCGTGTCTATTCTTCGGTCACTCACTGCGACATGAAGCTGGGCTACTCCCAAGAAGTGGAGAGCAACTACGTGGAAGGTCTGTGTAAACAGTTCTACGAGGACATGGTGGACATCATCCAAGCCACGGTCCAGCAGAACTTTGACACCGAGACTGACCCGCTGTACGACGAGATCCTGCAGCACTTGTCCCTCTGTAAAAGCTACGCAGCGCTCTACGAGTTCAAGACCGAATCCTTGGATTACATACAGGAATATCTCCTGCCATCCAAGGGGAGCAGGATGAGCCCTCTGGTGGTGTACGGGGGGCCGTGCACTGGGAAGACTCTGCTGCTGGCTGAGGTGGCCAAACAGGTGAGATATGATGAGGAACGATGGTGTTCTGCTATCGTTCCCCTTTTGTGTGACCCTTGGCCTCACTTTGGCCGGCTCTCGCAGTGTGTTCACGCTTGTGCTCGTCTGTCTGTCTGATCCGAGCATGTGTCCATCTTTGTACAACAGAGTATGAGGGGGCGTGCAACTGTTCATCTCTCCTCATCAAACGCTTGCTTGACCATCTGTGTGTCTGCCAAGACACAGACCATTGCCATGCACATTCCTCTAATTTCCTTGCGAAGCCCTGTGTGTGTGTGTGTGTGTGTGTGTGTGTGCATGTGTGTGTGCACCTGTACACATCTGCTTATGACTTTTTTGGGTGTGTATTAGTTTGCTGAACATCTATAGAGATTTCTGCAAAGTCTGTCTATTTTTTTTTATTTTTAATTAATGTGTGTTTGTGTGTGTGTGTGTGTGTGTGTGTGTGTGTGTGTGTGTGCCGTATTCTCCGTTCACTCCTTGGCTTTTGTGTGTGCCATCTGGCTGCCCGGCTACATTAGGCTCACACCATCGCCAAGATCACACAGCACACACCCACAGATCTAGACCTCCTGTCCAACCTTTGTAATAACTGTCACATTGATACACTCATTTATTGTAAGCGCCATTCATATCTTACAAGTTCTCTGTGTAGTTGTAGAAATGTTTTGAATGTAACACAAATAAAATAGCAACAAAACAAAGTGGTGGCACAAAGGTCCACAACACTAAATGTACATGCACTCAGAGGAGAGGTTAGTGACAGAGGAGACAAGTGAGGCAGAAGGAGGTGTGTAACACACCATGGACAAAGAGAAGAAGAGGTGATATTTCATACAGACATTTCTAAAGTAGTTTCTGCTACAAATTAATCCTATTGTTTCTGCACAATAGGAGCATGTGTCTTGTTTCCATCAGGGGAGTCTACCTATTTTCTTAGAGCCTGTCCTGATTTTCATGCCATAACATTTCCAAACATCTTTGTTCTTTCATGTTTTCACTGCCAGCTGGATTTTTCAAAAGCTTCCCCATAACACGCTGACAGCCACACTCAAGTGAAAACAAGTTTTTGGAAACAGAAAAAGGGAAAATCTGCTTTCTTAAATTGTTGGATTTTTAGAAATTCACAAAAAGGTAGATACATTAATACATTTAAAGTTCTCACAATTAAAAAGAAATGATTCATTCAGATAATTCAAATGATTGTATTGATTGTGTGATTCATGCTGCCCACACAGATTAGCCTAGTGATTTATCACTCAACCCTATTACACTAATACACATAGAGTGTGTGAGTGGGCTGTCCATTGTTTCAGCTGTGTCGCACACCTTACCATGTGGCTGAAAGGATCATAAATATGTGCTTCAACAACCACATACATGTAGTTATCTGCCGATGGCTAAAGTTTCTCTCTATCATATTGTTCCATGTACTCATCTCCAGCCTTTTAGTTCTTACAGTACAGCAAGTTAAAATAATAGTGTGGAATCCTATGTGGCCTTGGCATTTGAAGGAGAGAGGGATGTTATTAGATTTAAGCCAGACTAGAGGAGGTGCAGAATAAATGCAGAAGTGTTCTGGGGCCATTGTGTGACTACTCTGTGTTCCACAGGGTGTAATTCAAACCTAACCTGTTTGGTTTGATTCATCTGAACCCTGAAGCATTTATGTCTTTGCTTTTGAGCTCAGACCACATCAGATCTTCTAGAAAACAGAGGTTTGTTACTATTGTAAAGCAGTACAGACCAACCACAGCGTATGTGATGGAGATTGATCTATGATGGAACAGTGATCTGTTTGTCCCCCTTCTCACATTGTCACAGCTGCATACACACACCTTAGTAAGTTAGTTGAATATAGTAAAATGGCAAAGAGAAGGATAATGCCAAAGGCAATTATGAAGGTATTTTATTTGGATCTTCTTCTAAGCTCAGGTGTGCAGGGTTGGAAAACAGGTTTTCATATCATCATCCAAATCGTACACAGTTGCAGAATAAGAATAACACGTATCTGATTATTAGACTAACTAGAAATTACACTAGTTGTTAAATTGACTATTATAGCATAAAGTACAGCAGTATGTAATGAGTTCTTAACAGTGCAATGGCTGCTTTGGCACAGTTAGAGAATATTGCCAATGTAGAAATGAGTCCTCAGAGGCTCTGCTGAAGTTTGGGCCCATGATAATGGTTGACATTTGCTGTACGTAAGAATCGGGTTAATTAAGGTTTTGTAGACTTTCATTTATGCATGATTGTAATAGTGGAGGCCTGTGGAGTTTGAACAGTTGACATTGTTATAAGTTGTACAATCTATGAAAATCAACCAGACTCATACAAAATATTGTACTCATACACAATATTGTATGAGTTTTGCACACATGTATTGTCAGTTTTATAAACTGAGACAAGTTAAACATTTAAAATTGTAAATACTCTAATGACAGACACTGTGTGTCTCTCTCTTCTTCTCTCCTCCTCTCTCACACATACACACAGCTAAATGTGGAGTAGACTCATCATCACTGTTGCCCTAAAAGTGTCAAAAAACATCTTAATGTCTCCCAAAATCTCAGCTGGGCCATTTCATGAATTCATGAATGAAATTATTATAACAACCAAACCTCAAAATTGTAGCAGTGTTCATTCATAGAAGGTTTTTCATGATGAAAGAAATTATTTATATATGAATTGAATCTATGTATTAATGACTTCTGGTCTTTAAAATTGATCACTACTGAGTTTTAGACATTTTTCTATGTCTAATTAAAGTTAGAAATTTAGTGTAGCACAGATATACTGTCGTAAGGTAAAAATGTATTAAAGTTCTCCTGCTTGCTGTGCTAATGAGCCCTACCTCATACTGTGTGAATAGCAATTAATTATATCCCTCTGCCCTCACTCTAGAGCTTTGATTATTGTAACTGTTTGACTGTGTTTCTCTGACCAGACCAAGTAGAATACAAGCAAATGTTACCCAAAAAAAATATAAATAAAAATATAACGCACATATATTCTAACAAACCTCTCTGTTTTTCAGGCCTACACATGGCTGCAGAAAGAGATGGGTCCTGAGACCGACCCAGTGGTCATTGTCCGTTTTATTGGCTCCACCCAGCTCTCCACGGACCTACGTACCCTCCTCCAAAGCATTTGTGAACAGATTGCACTAAACTACCGCTGCCTGATTCACTTTTTGCCTAACAAGATCCAGGAGATGAGGGAGCTGCTGATCAACCTTCTAGGGGAATCTACATTCCACAGGCCCTTGGTTATTGTCCTGGATGCCCTGGAGCAGCTCTCAGAGGCCGATGAGGTTCGCAAGCTGTGGTGGCTCCCCATACACCTGCCTCGGACAGTCCGCATTGTAGTCTCAACATTGCCCAATAAACATGGCATCCTGCAGAAGCTTCGACACCTCATTCATGATGAAGGCTATTATGTGGAATTAATACAGAGGGATCGCAAGGTCTGCAGCCAAACATTAAAACAGCAGTTGCTGGGGGTGAAAAGAAAGGTCACCTCAGGCCAACAGATCTATGTCAACGAGGCACTTGCCAAGTGTACATTGCCAATGTTTGTCAACCTCATCTACAGAGAAGTTGTTCACTGGAGGTCTCACAAAGATGTGGACGACAGGTCACTGTGCTCCACAGTGCATGAAAGCATAGAACAGCTCTTCTACTCAGTGGAGAACAAGTTGGGCCAACGATTTGTCTTCAGAGCTCTAGGTTATATCACCATGGCCAAGGCTGGGCTAACTGAGGTTGAGCTGGAAGATATTTTGTCCCTTGATAATATAGTTCTTGGTGATGTTATTGTGGCAACGTACCTCAAAAACCCCTTGAGGATCTCTTACGATTTGGTTGCAAAGCTCAAAGAGGAGCTGGATGGTTATCTGGTGGAACGTCAGGTTCGTAACGTCACCTTGATGGTTTGGGCCAACCGACACCTGCATCTCATTGCCCAGAAGCTGTATCTTAGCAATGAGGAGGACGTCCATCAAATGCACAGCCTCCTAGCTGAGTACTTCCTGGGGGCATGGTCAGGAGGCAGGAAGAAGATCTTCACTTACGATAACAACCATTTCACGTCCCTGAATATATCTCATCACAAAAACCCCCACCAACAGCAGTCCCATGAAAAAACGTCCTCCGACAAGTACTCATATGACCGACAGACTCCAGAGCAGCCTTGGGTGTTCCAGTGCAACCTTTTGGAGCCTGACATTTTCTTTGTCAACCACAGGAAGATGACAGAGCTGGTGTACCACCTCACCAGGAGTGGGCGCACTGATGACCTCATGTTCGGTGTCATCATGAACTTCAGCTGGCTGTACACAATGATCAAGATTGGCCAGTTTGAAAAGGCTGTAACAGACATTGACCTAGCTTACAGCTACACCCAAGAAAAAGAACTGAAGTTCCTGGCCACCACTCTCCGTAGCATAAAGGTAAAAGTGCTGAAGAACCCAGCATCGCTGTCTGCAGAAATTCAGCAAAGGCTGCTGCCAGTTGTCACCTCACTACCTAAGCTCAGACACCTCCTCCTGGAGTGTGACAAAGATGGCCCGAAGTACTGCTCCATTGTGCCTCTCCACTCGTCTATGGACGTCACCTACAGTCCAGAGAGGCTTCCTCTGTGCTCTAGCTACATGCAGATTGTGGAGATCTTGCCCACTCTGGCCCCAAACATTGTCCTTGTAGCCCTGGAAGATGGGTCTGTCAGCACCTGGGATGTAGAGAGCAGACAACTTCTAAGACAGATCGACACAGCCAAATCCGTTGTGCTGGGAATCAGGCTAACCACTGATGAAAAGTATCTGGTCGTGGCCACAACCAAAAACACGCTGCTGATCTATGATAATCACAAGTCCTGCCTTTTATCTGAGGTTGAAATCAAGGGGTCCAAGCATGGTGGCGTCACTGGTGGGGTGGCTTTCATCAATGGTTTTACACTGTCGACCCATCATGCTTTGGCTTGGCTTGAAGCCAGTAAAGACGTCAACGTTATTGACCTACTCTATGGTTGGCCTCTCTACCAGTTCCACTGCTGGTATGAGGTGACTTCTGTCCAGTGCTCGCCAGATGGAATGTATGCCTTCTGCGGACAGTACCTCAACACTGCATCCATCTTTCATCTGGGAAATGGCGACAAGTTGGCCACTGTGACCTCTGAGTTTTCAGGGGGATTCGTAAAGTCCATTCTAGTTCTGGATACTCTTAACCAAATGGTGATGATTGACAATGAAGGCAGTTTGTCAGTATGGAACACCAAAGAGATCACCAACCCACGGCTGATGGAGGATTACGATTGTAGAGGGGATGATAGTGAAGTGGTGGGCATTGAGTTATCTGAAGACCAGCGCTCCATTCTCATTTGCAAGGCCAGAAGTATTGAGGTTCTGGACACAAAAGTATGGAAAATGGTAGAGAAGTTCAAAGCCAAACGTACCGAACGCTTTGTGGCCGCTGTCCTCTCCAAGAATGGACAAAGCATTGTGGCCTCCATGGAGAATACCTCCTCCATCTTTGTCTGGAGGAGGGACAGTGGACAGTGCATGGCTAGCCTGATTGAGATCTCAGGTGCTATCGTCAAACTCATTAAATCGGTCCACCACAATCTGCTCCTTTCTGTTGCCAGCAGTGGAGTGCTGTCTGTTTGGGACATTGATATCATCACCGCCATGTCCAATATTGACAAAACCGGCAAGAAGATCGCGACCTTGCAGCTGTCTGGCAGAGAGGATTATGTGTTTACCATGGACGGTTCAGAAGCTGTCCACAAGTGGAACTTCAGCACTGGCTTTATTGAGACGGTCTTTAAGCACGAGGGCATAGTGGAGAACTGTGTCCTAACCTCCTCAGGGGATCTCATGGTGACTTCAGATGACAAGTCTAGTCAATACATCTGGCAAACCAACACTGGAGAAAACATCTTCCGCATCAATGGACAGAGAATATCACAGCTGCTAATCACCCACAACGACCAATTTGTAGTGTCTCTCTGTGAGCAGAACGCCTCCAGAGTTTGGAGGCTCGCGACTGGGCACAAAGTGTGCAACATTTTAGTCACCCTCCAGAATGCACTGGTCACCACAGCAAACACTTTCCTTGTGGGAACCACCAAAAACAAGCTCCTCGCTGTCAGCCTGTGGTCAGGCAGCGTATCCAAGAAGTTTGTCTGTGACGATGGCATTACCATCGTCAACTTCAAGCTCATTCCTGACTGCCCTGACTGTGTGGTGTTCATCACATCCACAGAGACCGTCTTCATCTGGAGCGTGGCAGATGAGTCAGTTTGCAGGCGAGTCCAGCTGCCAACCAACTTCCTCAAAAATCTAGAGGACTTCCAGATCTCGCCCAATGGGAAACTAGGAATTGTCTCCAAAGGTGATGAGAATATTAACGTCTTGGATCTTCACAGCGGGAAGCTGAGGCTTGTCCATGCTGCTGGTATAATTTGGCGTCAGAAATTATCAAGAGATGGACGTTATTTAGTGTATGTCTGTTTCCGGAACTGTGATGAAGACGATGATGCTGGTGTTGTGTCCAATCTGATCGTCATGCGCCTTGCTGATGGGAAAAGCATCGGCACGTGCTCCCTATACAAGACGCCCACCTTCCTGTGTCTCTCGCAGCGAGCACTAAACATCATCATTGGCTTTGAGGACGGCAGCATCGGCACATACACAGTAGTGGACCGTGTGGATGCTGCCCTCAAGATAAAGATAGCCACCTCCAACAGCCGACAGATTGTCAACAATGCCTCGCAGAAGGTGCGACCCAAATGTGGCAACCATTCCTTCAAGACCGTTGCCGACTGCGTTTGGAGGGAGTCAACGGAGGTCTTCTCCAGGGACAGCCCTATCAACGTGTCTGACTCTGGGGAAGGTGAGTCAACCACGCCTACAAAAAAGACTGAACTGCTGCAGTGATAGGTGGAGATCAGAGAAGCGGGTGGGGTTAGGAGATGCAGGTGGAGATAAGTGACAAAGTTTAGAATCTCTGGGGTTGCAGTTGATTCTTGTTTACAGCCACGTGATACAGCTGCAGATGTCAGCCCTCTGGGTAGTTAATGGGCCGACCATTTTAACGCTGCACTCAAATTATGTATTACTTACTTCCAACTTATGATACAGTTTCTCTTTGTTTTACACACTAAGACTGTTAAAAGAATAGTACTTTTTTTTTTAAAGAAGACAAATGTCAATTCTGTGAGGTATTAGTTTGCCATTATGTGTCCTTTTGCATTTGAAGAACAAAGTTATTATTCAAATGTCTTGGTCAAACATTTCAAAGCCATTCCAGTGATCTTAGCCACTTTCATTGTACACTATCTTTATTTACATATGTGCACATTAAGCCATAATGTTGTTCTTTAAAAAAAAAAAAAAAAAGAGTGTATTTATGTTTGTATCAACATCAGTCGGTACTGTACAAAAAGGAAGAACTATGAACATATGTACATATCCCTTTTTGGCTGCTGCAATTTGTGCAACTCCTTAAAAATGTTATGTTGTGCTTAATGCAATCAAAGTGAGTGCCTGGAATTTAAAATGTTCTTTATGTGCAGATTACAAGATTTATGAAAATGCAGGGAATTTGTAAACACAGTATACACACAGTTACATAATACTTGCATTGATGTTAAATCTAAACGATCAGTGTACTGAAATCCAGTCAACAACACGAGAGATCGATGGCATTGCTCTTTGTAATGATAATTGTAGAAATTTCTTGGAACGGTTTGCGTAAATTTGATGTGGATTTACCTGCAGTTCCATCAGTTTGTGTGCTGTTTGTGTTAAGGGAAACACCACTATTGAGCATACAGTGTAGCATAGCACCATACACATTCACGCCTTAACCAATGTATTTGCTTTAGGTTTAGTGGAGTTTCTTCAAATGTTCCAGTAGAAAAGGAGACAAACGTTTTACTGAAACAACTTGGTCATGTGAATATATTTAGAGGTTTAGACAGTTAGGTGGAAGCACTTTATGAGTGGTTTGTGAGAAATTAGATTTATTCATATGACACATTGTATAAATCGTTTAAAGTGATCTAGACTTGTCTTAAAATAAGTATTGGATTTTCCTACAAATATACACACAAGGCCATCCAGGTACTTGCAGGCTACAGCTAACTCACTTGAAAAACAGACTTTCTGTATAAAGTACGCCTGTATCAATACGAAAACTGACATTAGAGATGGGACATTTTGAAAATATATATGTATAAAATAAGAGTCAATAATTTAAAACTTTTGAAATTATGTTATGAAATATTTTTTTAAATCTTTGGTTGTGTATCAGCTTTTGTATACCTGTGAAAAAAAAACTTTTAAGAACATTTAAGAAGTCACATGAGTACAGATTCAAAGAGCCCACATTTAGGTTACATTTACAGTCAAATCATGGCCAGAATTCACACTTTATATTTACTTTTCTTACATTTTATCACAGGTTTATACATGTGACACACAACCGCAGGTTTTGAAATTCTTTCTAAACATTATTTCACGAGCTCTAGATCTTTTTGATCCTCACGTGAGCCTATAGAAACCTGACTCTGGTAACATCACGACAGGCTGAAATAAAAGCTGTTAAGTTCTGGTTTGCTGACAATCTAAAAAAGAATAGATTAGTTATTTATGAGGTTGTACCTTGCAGGTACCGCGATCGCTTTTGTTAAAGCATGTCTGTAATAACCCAAAAAACGCAATTTATGAGCTCTGATGAGACCAATCATCTGCCAGGCATGATTGAAAACAACACACTTACACTTTTGACATATACTTTTTAAGGGCTATTCCATCTTATTGTATGTTTACTAGTTTTGAACTGTTGAGGTAACGGCCCTTGGATAATTTCAAAACCGGGTAGCAGCATCAAGCTTTAAAAAAAAAAAAAAAAACGTAATTTCCCTTCAAGTCAAGAGTTTCTAATTGAAAAAAATATATATAACATGTAATTGCCAAAGTCCCGATTATAGTTTGTGTTTCATTTGGTTGACTGTCTCATTTTGTTTTTTGAGGCTTGTACTGTAATTATATTGTTACCAAATAGTTTCAGTGTTCTACTGTGATTATGTTTATGATAGAGAAAATGTGCTATCTTTGCTAAAAAGTCCTCTTATAAAATATATTGGAATGCCAGTTTAAGAGTATATTTGAATGTGTCCATATGGAAGCCAGTAAATGGTATTATTGTATGTTAAGTAACTTGAATGACTTTTAATAACTTACATGTTTGCAACTCATAGTTGACATACTGGTATAATGAATGTTTCTATGGTATTCTTTGTATTGTCAGGACTGACTTACCTGTTTAGAGATTTATATTTTCATAAATGTTGTACTTACATTTTGTTACAGAGTTGTTTAACTGGAATTCAAACAGAAAAAGAAACTTATGTCTGAAGCAATATGAAACTAGTGTGTATGCATCGTTTGTATGAAACATTTTACTGTAATAAAATGGTTCACTTTTTGCCTCCACTGCACCGCCTCAGGCTTTTCACTGTAATTAGAGGTTGCTTCCAGACATTGCAATCATGTTTCTACTTTTGGACACTCAGTGTTTTATTTACTTTGATCTCAGACAATGATCGATGGGAATAAACTCTCCTCTAATTGGTTACAATTAGCTCAGACCTGACACACCGGTAGCTGTGAGTTAAGGTGCAGAGCATCTTGTGAAACAGGTAATTCATGGGGATTTTTTTGTTTGTTTCCCATAGTCAGAAAACACTGACAGCCTCACACACACACACACACACACACACACACACACACACACACACACACACACACACACACACACAACAGAGCTGTAAAATGATTTGATAGGCCAGTAATTGCTCTTCTGCGCTTGATGCCGAATGCCAGACAAGCGTGGTGAATATTTCTCCAACACTGGCTGACATTGTCATTATAATTAGGCGATGCATGTGTGGTGCACCTGTACAGTGCCCTGCGCCAAACACACCCTCACAAACACGCACACACACACACACACACACATACACAAATAAACTTGCAAGGCAAACACATCCAGGATCAAGCTGTGATTGGCCAATAAAAGCCTGTTGCTTTGGGCTACCATTTTAATTTCCCAGTGGTGTCACTCTAAGCCGATCTGTGTGTGTGTGTGTGTGTGTGTGTGTGTGTGTGTGTCCCGTCTCCACGGCAACATCAGGTCCACAGCGGTGACGGGCTTGGCCACGCCTCTCATTGTAATGATGGTGAGCTCATGTCTGTTGGCTATTGGGGCTGCTTCCAGTCCTTATGACAACAAGGGCTTGACTATCGCTAGCACATTCCACCTGCAGCGCCACACAGGCATATAATTACACCACTTGTTTGTTGAACAGGAGGTCTCCACAGGTCACAGTGTGTGTGTGTGTGTGTGTGTGTGTGTGTGTGTGTGTGTGTGTGTGTGTGTGTGTGTGTGTGTCCTACAGTAGGTACAGTATGACATTGCCTCTTATTTACTCAGCCCTAAAATAGCCTCTTCATTGTCAGCGGCATTTATTCTATAAGCCAGGGCCCTCCTTTTGTCATCCTTGTGTTTTTTCAACTGTAACCTGTACTTTCAGCGGTGGGGAAGACTATGAGTCACCCGTTTTTCTCCTTCCCCTCCCTCCTCTTCTCTCGGGCAGGCCAGATGAACCAGCCGCCGCTAAACACTTTAACCTTACCGACAGCTGAAATTTAAGAAGAAGCACAGAATATTGGCCAAAACAAAAGAGTTGAAACTCCTCCGGTTGTTTGAGTTGCCTGTGTTTGACTAACTAAAAGCCTTTCACCAAATATGGCATGTTTGCGCAGGGAAATCACTCCAATTTAAGGACCACTCAAAAGACAAAGCGTACAGTTCACACATTCCTCGTCTGTCCAATCCCCCTTTTTTATCTCGTATTCTTTCCCCCCACATTTCCCCCGGTCGCCTCGACGCAAGACCCCAGTTTAGAAAGATAACTACCAACATGCCCTGACCTAATTCCTCTGAAGCACGCTGGGAGGAGAGACACTGATATGCGAAAGGCGTCCTTCTCTCGGTCGGTTGCTCTATTTTGATTCCAGGTGAACAGTAGGAAATGGGAGCTGTTAGAGGAGCAGTTAGCCTGTGATAGGTTAAAGAGATTAGAGCGTTCACTCTGCGCTGCTGCGTTTGGAGCTTCTTTTTTTTATCTGAACGCACAGGACAGAAGAGGAAATGAAAGATGGTGAAGGGTACAGACAAAGGCGGTTAAAAGCTCCTGCACAAAATGTTTAATCCAGTGTTTTATTCCTTACTCACCCGTGTTGGAATTAATAATTACAATGAGTGTAAATCCTCTGTATTAGTGGCTGTTCTTCTTTCTTTTTTGATTTTAGACAATGAGACAATTTAGAAGGCACCAGTCCAGCAGTGACTCAGTACAGACCAAAGGCCATTTATTTTTTGTCGACTAACACAACACTGCTGAAGCCAAACAATAACGCTATTGAACAATGTTTCACAATGAATTGAAGCTTTTGGAATAAAGAGCCATTAAAATGAAGATTTAGTCTCAAGTCGTGCACACCCGTGATAAATATTCTAATTATTTCTTGTTGTTTTAGCAGATCAGGTCAAAACAAGACAACGTTTCTCTGAAATCCCTCAATAATCCTGGATTATTTTATCATATCACGCGATCATCTGCAGGTAGAGATTAACTTTGAGCTTCAACTGTTTGGTCTACATAGATCAGAAACTTAAGTTAAGATGATAGAAATTTCAACATATTGCATGGAAAGTGTGCAAACTCCATCTGCCGGTGAAGATCATGTGATATGATTGAAAGCTTCCTGGCAGCTACTAAATGGACCTTGTGGAGTCTGATGTTGGATTTTTTTTGTAAACATTCTGATTCAAACAGTTTACAAACAGGATTACTGTATTTTACTGTAATCTAAATTGTCAGTTGGGTCAACGAGTCATTCTTTGTATCGCCTAACACACAAACTGAATCATATCGGACCTTTTAGGAAAATAAAACACATTGGTTCATCCATTTGAATAAAGACATTTAAAAAGCATCAAAGCTAAATATGAAGCTGCAGACAGGAGACGGAGAGAGGAGAAATCGCAACTAAGTTGTGGTTTTACAGGCGGCTGTGTGTCGGACTATTTCTTATCAGGTTGCAGGGACCTCAGTGTTGTTTCCAGCCTTTAATGCTAAGCTAAGATAACCATCTCCTGGCTCTAGCAAGCTTCCTTGGAATAGTTTGACATTTGGGAAATATGCCTATTTGTTTTCCAGCAGAGAGTTAGATGATGATCATATCTGTTAGCTGTTAGTCTAAATATGAAGTTACAGCCAGGAGACAGTTAGCTTAGCTTAGCATAAAAACAGTAAGCGGGGGAAATAAGTAGCATGTAGTACTTTTTAGGTCAAAATTACTACATATTATTACTTTTAAAGCACATTAATCACATAAAACTTAATGTGACTGTCTTTATGCTAAGCTAACAGTCTCCTGGCTGTTTGAACTCTAGACTGATATCAATGTTTATATATATAAAAGCGTATTTCCCTAAATATTTATATGGTCTTTTATTTAACATTTTGGCAACTCTCTTTCCTCTGTGACGAAGTTTCATTCAGCTGTGGTGAAAACAGAGATGGAGAGATGGGAATCATTCATGCTGCACCACCGGCCGTATCTTTGAAAATATCAGCATGGGCTCTATTTTGCATCTGACATGTCACATTGTTGTCATGTTTTGTCTCTTTGCCAGAATGTTAGCTGCCATCCTGTCAACTGCAGCTGGAGCAGAAAAACATCTCCAGTGTTTTTCTCCAGTATTTCATTTTCCAAAAAAAAAAAAAAAAAAAGAGCTAGGAAACGTTTGTACGTCCACATACACAGTCGCTGGAAAACTGTTCTTCTAAAACAAAAGAGACACACATGCTCACATTTTTACACACACCTGTGGCAGTCAGAGGAGTTATTCATCTTATTTAAGAACAAAAACTACCTCTTTTAACTTTTTTTCCACCTGCATGTGCTTTATCATTTGTAATTATCTTCATGAGTGTACATTTCTTATGCGGGATTTAATTCCTGTTGTGACCCCTCCAAGGACAAACTTGCTTGTGCATCTGTAAACATTCAAACCGGTTTTTCAGTCGCGTGTCATTCTGCACAGAGTGTCACTTAAGTGGTATAAGGCTTGTTGTTAGAGATTAACAGAACAGTACAATGTATATTATTTCATACAGTGGAATTATTATTAAAATGTAGCCATTTTTTTATAACATAAATTTTTTTTGTAAATTTCTTTTCAGTGTCGGATCAGAGTTTTATTTCCTGTATACTTTTCCTTTTCTGGACTGGGGCAAGGTTTTCTAAAGGTTTTCTAAAGGTTTTCTAAAGTGGGCAGCAAGCATTGAGGGGTGATTCCACTCTAATGCCTCCAAGTCATATGATCAACCTAGTAACTTGTGAGGAAGCAGGTCAGGTTAAGCCGAGTCAAGCTGGACGCAGGTTGCCAGATCAAGACAGGAAGTCAGGTATATTAAAGCCTCTTGGTGGCGTGGTGTAAATATTAATGTGATCTCTCGTCCTTTGTCTCAGTGTAACTTATTTGTCCCAAATTCTTGCATTTGAAGGGTATTTCTTTTAAGGCCAGTGGTTTTAAGATGTAAGTATATCAAGTATTTCACACAATAAAGCCCAAAAACAAACAGAATATAGTGTATTAAATATTTTCTGTATTTTCCTTTTAATCATCTTGTCCCCTCAGATTTATCTGGGGTCAGGCTGCGGAACAAATGTGGTAATATGAATTTACATAATTAAGATTTATGTTATAAACATTAAAATCTGGTGCTTGTTTAGTTAAGATTATAAGGATATTCATAACAATGTTCATTTTCTTTCATCTGTTGTATTTTAACTTCTTTAACCTCTTTTGTAAAGATTGGTTTTAATTCAATATATAGAATAAACATAATAATAATTATATATCAACTTAAATATGTACACATGCAAGATAAGATGATATTAATAAACCAAACAAAAACAAACATATTGTTGTAGCAATAATTAAATGAGTATCCCAATAAAACTTACTTAACTTAACAAACCTTAATTATGTAAATTCATATTAGCACAGTGGGTCTCGAACCGGACACCACAGAGGGTCCCAAGAGGATTTTAATGATGAATGATTGACAGAAAACACTTTTAAAAAAACAAAGTTTTTGTTTGGCATTTTTGGTATGAAATACTTGATGATATTAAATCTTAAAGCTGTCGGCCGTAAAAGAAATACCCTTCAAATGAAAGAAAAACACCTCACAGATCACATCCACACTAATACAACCATAAACTGAGACAAAGGATCACTTCATTATAAAGAGCTCACAAACAAAAGAAGGGTTGGCAGCCACTCTATAAATATAATACAGTATCAAACAAAAAAAGACACTTCATTAGATATATTTTTACCATCTGTGGTCATA